AAAAAAAAGAATTTTGTATGAAATCCACTTCATATCTAATCATTGATCAGTCCTCAGTGGTCATATGATTCTTATCTACATTAACTTTTCCAAAAGGCAACGAATACAATCTACTCACAAGAGGACTGAATAGCTTAACAAAAAAAGCGATTCTACAAAAAACGGATCAAGAATAGCTTATAGCTTAATCCGTTCTTGCTAAGTGGTGTATATTTCGCACCCTCCCAACACCGAAAAAAAAAAAGTTTTTAGAGACCCTAAATTTAAAAAAAGTAATATTCAATCATAATGTAAGGTTTCTTGAACTTTTTTAGGCATTTCCAAAATCTTTCTTATAAGACCTACGTATAATTTACGTATAATACAGCATATTGTTTAATTTACCCTTGGGCAACAAAAAAACATTTTAACGAATTTACATTATAATTTTAATTTTTAAAGTAAAAACTTCAACTAGCGGATTGATGAAAAATATAAAAAAAAGTTAAGTTATGAAGAAAACAATGTAGTTTACGATATTGAATGAATTATCTTTTATCGTGAGGATTCACGTCTATTATTTCATTTATTTAATTATTGTATCTAACAATAGAATAGAAAAATATTCTATAGATATTTTAAACTGAAATTACAACCACTAGCGGATCCAGGATTTTATTTTGGGAGGGGGGGGGCTTCAGCCCGAAAGCTAATTTTTTCATAAAAATAACAATAATTACTTTGGTAAATAAGAAAGAAACTAACTACCTATATGAACTGGTGTTTAAGTGATTCCTAAAGCCCTTTTAAATGTAAATACACGAATAATTATACTTTAAGAGATATTTTTAAATATTTTTTTCTATAAAACATGGTTATATTTTACCATTTGGGGGGGGAGGGCTTCAGCCCGAAAGCCCCCTCTCCCCCCCCCCCCCGTAGATCCGCCCGTGATTACACTCCAGAAGAAAATCCTTGACATCGTATTATATATATCTTTTAAACTAAATCTATCATTTAAATAGCACTAATTAATGCTAAGATTAAAGCAAAAAAAATAAATAAATAAAAGTGCTACTAAATATAAGAAGGCTGTTGTTAGAGGAAGGGTTTATAAGGAACACAGCTGTTAGTAGAGGAAATGACCCCCATAACACCAGCAGGTGTATCGCCAATTTCACTTCTAACGTACTTTGCCCCAGTCAAGGTCGCCGACAGCTTCTTAACTGTAGTATTTACTTTTATATATTTATTTCTTTATTTATGCAACCACATAATTATATATCTTTATATATTTATATGAATGAATTTAAATATAACTTATTTCATTAATAAAGACGCTAATTATTTCAATTCTTTTACTAAAAAAAAAAAAAAAAATGTTGTGCCATGATAAGAAAAGTTCTTTTATTTAAAAATTTAGAAAATGTATAATATAATATTATATGTATAATAAAGTAGCAGATCCAGAATTATTATTACTTTTTTTTGGGAGGAGAGGGTCTGGGAATAAGGATACCTCATAGCAACAGACACAGGCGGATCTACGGGGAGGGGGGGGCCTTCGGGCTGAAGCCCCCCCCAAAATGGAAAAATATAACCATGTTTTATGGGAAAAGAAAATTAAAAAATACCTCTTAAAGTATTATTGTTCGTGTAATTACATTTAAAAGTACTTAAGGAATAACTTAAACACCATTTCATATAGGTAGTTAGTTTCTTTCTGTTTTTCCAAAGTAATTATCGTTATTTTTATGGAAAAAAAAAGTTTCGGGCTGAAGCCCCCCCCCCCAAAATTAAATCCTGGATTCGCTAGTGGCAACAGAGGAATCCTTCTCAATGAATTTTTTAAATGTTACAAAATAATAAAGAAAAAAAAAAGGTTTAACATTACAATCCTATGCAGGGTTCAGTACTTTCTATAAAAGCATTCTTTCTTGGTTGAGCAAGAAATTGATTTAACCTAAATCATGCTCAACCGCCAGTTTTTTCCTTGATAAATTACATAAATAAGAGTACCCATTTAATAGAGGCTGGGTGAGCCCCAGGAGGGTCTCCTGACTCGTGAATCGATCTGTGGCTTATTAAACAGAATAAATAATTACCTTGCCATAGCCAAATTCGAACACAGGAAAGACCTGAAGCACAGGAGAATGTTACCTTACTAACTGAGGTAGTCTGTTTATCTGAATCGATACAAATTAATTTTTTATTTTTTTAAATAATTATTTTTTTATTCCATATTCATACCAGTGAATGGAGGCGACGTCTTGATTTGGCAAGAACCAAAACCGGACCGAAGTGCATGTCATGATGGTGAACAATATAGTAAAGGAATAATAATATTTTTATGGAGAAATTTCTGTACCTTTTCTTAAGACATACTTACATTTAGATGATGTAGTATTTAACCTACCATATAGATAGGACCCTACTTCCTCAATTGTATTTGCTAGTGATATAATGATTAATAAAATAATATCTTCTAAATGCTTCAAGGTCCCAGGTTTTCAATAAAACTCTAATCATCCGAGGTGTCTGCAAAAAAGACAGTCTAGGAACCTCCCAAATTAATTTAATCATTGAAGTGCTACCAAGGGGTAGATTCTTCTGGTTTTTCCAATTAATAGTACCCACTTTATAGATGAGGATTTTTACTCACTCATATTCATAAAAAAATACTATTAGGTAGTGATTAATGTAAATTTCAACAGAAAAGAAATGTGCAATAGATAGCCTAAACACTTATGTAGCTTTCTAATTAAACAGTTTTAATAATTTAAAGATCTTATTGTCCTTAATATCAAATAAGATTAAATAACATCAAGGACAATGTCCTGATCATGCTGGTACCCTCACATGAATTATTTAAATTGTCCAAATGTTTTTAGTTAATAATTTACTTTCACCTCCATCAATGTATGTTTTTAGCTCACTTCAAAACAATGATGGTGGTTGTGACATGTACTTACAGGGTTGGAAAAATATATTTAAAAAATAAGTATATTTTATTATAAATCGTAATCTATTATATCTCAAAGGAGTTTTTTATCGGTACACCAATATATTCATTAATTTTAAACCACCATTTTGAAGTTATCTTCTTCTCCTACTGGAGCAAAAAATAAGCACATCTGTCAAAAATTTCAGAAAAAAAAGTTATGAAGAAAAGGAAACTTTATTCGCAAATAACTTAAAAAGTACCCAATTCATGGTCGATTATACCAATCATAATTTAAAAATTTCTTAATTCCCTACATAATCAAAAATCAAAATTGGACCAATTTTGATTTGTACATGTTTTGGATGATTATTTTTAATTTATTACGAACCATTGCAATTGGCTAAGGAAAAGAACATTAATTAGCTCCCTTTTATTGTATATTGCATTTACTAATCTCAATCTTATGTTATCATTTGTTCACTAACCAATACACTATGTGAATACATTATTTACATGTGAAAGTATAAATGAAATCTCATATAAGACACCATAATTTCATATTAAATTCAATTCAAATAAAATTATCACCTTTATTTTTGTTTGAGAAAAATAAATCAGTAATAATGAGAGGATTCAAATCACCTTACTATTCAGAAATTTCATGGAATATATAACATGAATGAATGCACAACTCTCCAAAAAGATTCTAAGGAAAAGAAAAATATGCTTTCGTTGGTTCTAGGTACCATCCAACTAATCAAGATCACTCTATATTGTGTAGAAATTTAAATTTAAATTAAATAATTTTTTACATCAAAATAAAAAAAATCTTTATGGTAGAGTTGAGGTAGTAAAGATTAATCTACGAGAAGATGGCCAAGGTGGCAATTAAAAATAATATAATATAAAACTATTTAATTCACTAATTATATTAATATAGTTTATTTTGTTTTATTTTTTGGAAATGAAAAAGTTCATTTCGTTTGAAAATGAATTGTTAAGGAAAATAATGCGGATGAATCGAAATAAATAAAATTATATAATAATGAAATTATTTTAACTTTTTTGTTAAATCAAAACTTTTTTATAATAATATGAACAATTTAACTTAAAATTTTCTTTATTTTTGTCTTGAATAACAACATTATTATTGTAACTCAGAATATCAAATAATTAAATTTTTTTTTTTTAAATAAATGATTTTTTTCTATTGGTAATAAAATTACGAAATATCTCATGTTACAATAAAAGTTTTTTTTAAGGAAAACAAAATTAAAATTGAAAAATTTTAAATTAAATATTTAACTGAAATAAAAAAAACCTTTCTGAATAATATGTTTTAATACCTTATATCGGAGTTTTTATGATATTTAGATTGATCTGTTAACTAATAACTAAACAGTTCAGTACCTTTTTCTACTCAGTTTGCCAACCGATTTAGTAGGTATTCACGAACTTTAGTGTTATCAATAAAAAATTTTTGGAAATAGTGTATATAAATAAAAGTGTTAATGTTAGTTTGTTCAAAACTGCTAATCTTCGAAAATTCTAGACCGATTGCTTTGAAATTTTGATACAGCATTGCAATTAAATCCAGAAGAGTTTTTATATAGATTTTATTAAAATCCAAAGCCTTCTTTTTTAAATGGTGGCCGAAAAACCTGTGCTACTATAGACTGTAGCATCAAAATGGCTGTTTACTTCTCCCGGAAGCCCTTTTGATTTATTTATATAATATTCTTCCCTGAAAAGAGGACTAAAAAAAGTAACAATGGATTCAGAATTTTATTTGCAAATAACTAAAATAGCAGAAAAAATACACAAATGGTACTGAACTGTTTTATAATATAAGTATATATAATGTGTATAGGTGTATGTTATCATATATACATTGAACAATAAGAGTAGAAAAAAATTATTGAAAACACACAAATTCATAAATGTTTTCCTCAAATTTTCAATAATGTATAATGTAATAATGAATAATTTTGACCACTAGCGTAACATATATAATTATGAATGGTAGGTAAATATTTAAGGTATTACAGTGAAAAAAAAAAAAAAATGTCAATCCTACCTTAGAAGGATGGTGAGCTCGATGTCGTGAGACAAGGCCTGAAGAGCAGAAGCTCCCTCAACCCTCACTGCGTTCACTTTATCCCGCAGAGCTTGGCTCGACGAAACTGCAGCGTGTCTTTCTCTCAATATGTCCATTATATTAGGCTGGCGTAAGAATGCAACAACCTATAATAAAATTTAAAACAATATATTAATTTGTTAGAGAATAAATATTAACTTGAGATTTTAACTTTCTAGTCTAATATTAGATCAAGTACAAATAACACCTATAATCAGGATAACAAGAAAATTTAATGAGAAAAAAAATAGAGACAAAAACTACAGTTAGATTTTTTAAGAAACTTTATAAAACAACTCTTTAAATCTCAAAATGAGGTAAATAACTAATTATTCAATGTTTTGCTGATCAGCAAAGCTGAAAAACATAAGAGCACATAGACTGGTAAATTTATATCTCACATAAGCCTAAAAATAAAAAAGAATTAATATTAATAATTCAAGTGACTTCTCTTTAATTATGTTTATAAAAAAGAGTGCTGCAATAAAAATATTTTTTTAGTTTGAAGGTTGTCTATTCATCTATATTTCTTAAGGAAAATATTTCAGATTTGTAATTATAATATTTACTGTAGTAATAATTCAGTTTAGTTTTTTTTTTTATGATTAACTAATTAAATTCCACGATTCATATTTAAATAATTAAAAAATGAAGATTAACTTTTTTTTAGGCAAAAAAGGTGAATACCATTGACCTAGAAAATGGCCAATTTGATATTTTAAAGTGAGTTAAGAGGGGTCATTAACAAACTTTAACACTTCTCACATAAAATTCTACTCTTTCATATTGTGGCACTTTTTTTTCCAAGCGGGTATTATACATATTTATTATTGAGCATATTTATTTACATAGAAGAGTGTCCATCTTTTTTTTTTTTTTTTTACAATAGCATTCTGTATATTTAATTAAAATTTTTTTTAAATAACAGTTGCAACTTTTTTTTTTGTCCTTACAATTTTTTGTTTCCTATCACAATAATTTAATCTACTTTTCTTTCTCTTTAATAAATATACTGTTCATTATTCTTGATAACTTGATGTGTATTTTTTAAAATTTATTCATTCCTTTGCCAGAAATAATCTGTATTTTTCTGTACATCTTTGTTATTCCTAAGGGACTTTGTCACAGAATAAAGTTAATTTTCTATTCTATATATAGATACAAATATTTCGAGTTATCGATGTATAATATTATATAGTATTGGTGAATCTTTGTTATACTTATATATACATATGTGCGATATGATGTATTTATGTGATCTTATGTATTCGAGTCCTATTGATCCACGAATTGATGAAACATTAACTGTTTAGTTATTAAGGAATTCCAAAGAAAAGAAAAAAACTGTGGTCAATTTATTCACTTCTAAGTTTATATTATAATATAAAAAGGTAATTAATCACTTAACACAGTCACCAAATGACAACAAAATAATATAAACAAACAAAAAAACACTTCTAAAATAAATTTACAGCTGAATTCCAAAAATAGAATGATGAAAAAGGAAGACAAACTAATGTAATAGTGTTTCATATTTATTGCCCTTTAAAATAAACAGCTGACTCAAAAATATATCAACAGCAAACTGCGTCATTAAATTATGACGTACTATACACACAGATATGAGAGATTCTTAGCAATGAATAGTAGTAACAGTGATGAGTCAAAAAATGTAAGAGTAATATTCAGTATATAAATAAAATGTATTTAGAATACAACAAATCATTTTGTTTTTTTCACTAGCAATTGAATATTATAAGCAGAAACTGGATTTGTATGCATTTAATAAAAAAACTTGAGCTAGTAATCACAACCGAAAGGTTAAAAAAAAAAAAACTATTCTTAAACTTTCAAAACCAAAAGTAACAAAACTGGACCTAGCTTTATTTAATTTAATATAATATTAAAAACAATATGAAACATAAACGTAATTAATTATTCATGAATAAATTAAATAATTTGTTTTAAGTTAATATATTTTACAAACGTCACAAATTAAAATAATGTTCTTACTTTGTCATTGTAAGCTGTAGGAACTTCTTGTACTCTTGAAGATAACCCAGAAGGCCCAGGTCGTGGAGGAGGTATGGGTGCCTAAAATAAAATAATCAGTAATACATAATTTTTATAGAGATAATAATTAATAAAATAAAAAGAATTATAATGTATTTATTAATATAAATATGTATATTTTATTTTATTATGATTGAAATTAAAAATAATAATCATTACGACAAGGTCTATTTTGTTTTATAAATAGAATCAAATAGAAAAATATATCAGTTAATACAATAATAAATTACTAATTAGTACATAACTTATAAATTATTAATTAACTAACTTGCTATTTACAGGTATGAGGAAAGAATAAAAAAAATATATGAAAAATTATTAACAAGTAACAAGTTAAGGTGCATATTTTACTAAATATAATTATATTAAATCTAATTGTTTTAATTATATGTTATATACTACCAAATAACTTCTATAGCATGTAAAAAAAACTAATAAAAATGAAAGATTTCAATTCCATAGTTATTGTATAAATACAATTAAATATATATTTTTTATTAATAATGTTATTTTATTCTATATTGTATGTTATTGAAATATACTAAAATTAATATCTATTCCAATTAATCTTAATTTAGTTATCTATCCCTCAGTAAACAAAGTTATTAAATTTTATCTGTAAATATAGTATTTGAAAAATGTAAAGCTACAATTTTGAAATATCTATGTAATTTTTGTTGTTTTATTTAATGCAATATTTGGTAATATTTATTACAAATACAATTTTTGTAATAATCAAAATTTTAAACAAATCAACTATATTAAACAATAATATATATTTTTTAAATTGAGAGAATTAATATTTTTCAAAATAATAAATATTTGCATACTTGACATCAACATAAAACTCCTTGACAAATAAGAACCCATAATTGAAGATAATATAATCCAACAGGAAAAAAATCAATTTATTATGAAACTGAATTTATAACAAATGTATATAAAACAATAACAAGCAGTTGAAAAAAAATAAATTGCTGATAATTTTTTTTTCTTTATGAAAGTGTGTCATTATTATGTACATATGAAAAAATGTCAGCTTAAGCAAATGTTTGAGATTGTGATATCACAGCATTCTTAAATAACACATACATTCCATAAATAATGCCTTTCTCTACGGAAATATAATAAGAAATAAAAAATTAAATTTCAAACTGAATTCAAAAAGAAAATTTTTGTGAATATAATTGTAAAATATTTAATATTTATATGACTGAGATTAAAGAATCAAGAGATAAATAATTTTTGGGTAGATCAGTTCGGAAGTTTTCGAACTTTACCAAGTTCAAATTAATATACAAAATCTACGGCATGAAAAATGTGGAATCATGCCAAAGAAATTATTTGTATTTATTTAAATTACTTACTTGAAATATTAGGCCATATAAATTCTAAAACAGGCTGGCTAAATTTTTTAATAAAATGAGTTTAATATCAACTGGATTAGTTACTTCACTCCTAATCGAACAGTAAACATACAGAACTCAAATATAGTTTTACAAGACAATTTGAGGTTAACGTCTGCCATAAATTACAAGAAGATAAAAAGGTAGAAAAAGAATCAACGAAAATAGGCATTTTTTTTTCTTCAACCTATTGAAAAATTGAGTTAAGTGGTGTTAGAATTTATATGACAATATATTAAAGGTTATGGATTATTGTTAATAATCCGTAACAAATATTAAGGGAAAAGTATGAAATAATAAAAATAAACAACAATAATTAAGCAATATCCTTTAAAATACTTCAACAGAGCAGAATAAGACACAAATAAAAAAAATAAAACAAAAAAAACTCAGAATAGCAATGATCATGAAATATTAAAAAAAAATTTAATAGCATGAAAAGAAAAAACAAATAATAATTCATTCAAGCATAATGCACAAACTAAACTAAACACAATACCTATTTATAAAAAATAAAAAAAATGCAAGACATCAGACATGCTAAAATACAAAAAGAAATAATAGTCCATGGTAAGACCCCTTTTTATCAAATTATTAACATCTGCCTCAGACTTCGTAAATAGCTTTATGAAAACTCTCGGAATTGGGGTGTTTTCAATCTGAAGAAAATTTTATCTATCTAATAAGGTACTAAAAACTTGTAAATACCCATTTGTTTTCAACTTGTATTTTAAGATAATTTGATTTGGCTTTCGGGCTGAAGCCCCCCCCCGAAATGGTAAAATATTACCATGTTTTACAGAAAAAAAATTAAAAAACTATCAGTTAAAGTATTCTTGTTCGTGTAATTACATTTAATAGGACTTCAAGAACCACTTAAACACTATTTCATATAGGTAGTTAATTTCTTTCTTTTTTTTCTAATTCATTATTGTTATATGTATATGAAAAAAAATCTTTCGGGCTGAAGCCTCCCCCAAAACTAAATCCTGGATCCGCTAGTGGAATCAAGTGGAAAGTAAATGGCTATTTACAAGTTTTTAGCACCAAATTGAATATATAAAGTTTGCCGATCTCTAGATTGAAAAAGCCCTGATTCCGAGAAATTTTGTAAATAAAGTAGTTGTAGGTTATGATGAGATGAAGCTATTGACGAAGCTTTAAAGGGATGTTAATAATTTGATAAAAAATGGTTTGTACCACAGATTACAAAATAGTTTCAAAATAAAAAAACAAAAAAACGACAAACACAAAACAAAGGAACAAATACACATGGGATCGAAGAAGGCAATTTCTTACATTAGCGAAGGCAAGATCTTGCTCCCCAGCAGATCTGCTCCTCCTCCTCAGCTGCCAAGCCCCCAACTTATGCGGGTTAAGGAACGGAATCTCCGCAGGCACCCGAGGGTCCATGAACGTTGTTCTCTTGTTCGTATGATCGACAAAGAACTGCTGCACTCCAAAAGTTTGCAATGACGGAACATTAGTTGAGAGTGGCGAGTTAAAAAATGAAAAATATTTGAAGAGAGACATCTATAGATCTCGCATACAAACATTAGAAATGAACTCACAGGCTCAACTGAGAATGCAAAGGAGGAGGCTAACATTTAATGGCAGACTTAGTCATTCAAAGATAAGATAAAAGGTTTCTCCATTCTTCATTTGAATACGGTTTAAATTTACATTTGTGACTTATTACGTACAAAAATTCTCTATTATTCATAGCTAAATTACTTCCTCAATGACTAATTTTAAACAAAGTTACACAATTTTGTTCAAATACTACATTATAAGTTTCTGAAATTACCTTGAAAATTCATAACCAGATCTCTCTATTCATCAATTTTCAATGTTCCAGACTGCCCATTCACAATAATCTTTCTTTTTTATTTTCATCTCTCCAAATTATTTTATCCTCTATAATAATTGTAAATATTTTTTAATTATAAACTGAATTGTTTATTAGTCTTTTTTTTCTTATCTTTCTTTCTAAATTTATAACTTGTCATAACTTTGGTAAACTATAGGTGTCTATTTTGTTCAACATATAAAATTTTAATTCTGGAGAGGATACAAATTATATATCAGTTAATCCAATAACAATTTATTTACCAGTAGATTACTTATAAATTATTAATTAATAAGTTATTTATATGAATTTTCTTAGACAATCAATACTAATCTATTTCAAGATCGATCATATAAAATCTCGAATTATTAAAAATTTTAATTCTTCAGTACACATCAGAAGGATTAGGAACTCTTTTTTGACACTTTCTAATAATATGAATCTTTTAAACAGCTAGAAACAAAATACCTCAGAAATTTATTTATTTTCTGAAAGTATGAAGAGAAAGGAAAAAAAATCATCATAAGAAAAACTGCGACTAGAAGCGTAAAAAGCGTATTTTAATTAATAAAATTATGTTAAATCTTTTTTGTTCATTAAAAATTAAAATTTTATGTTGTACTACCAATAACGTTTAACTATATATGTAATTATGTATACATATATATAACTATTAACTATAATTAAATTTTTGTATTATTAAGCCACAGCTTGTTTCACTCTATTCTATCTATGATTCTTCATCTATCCTATAGGAGTTAATAGAACAGAGTAAAGCAAGAAACAATAGTTTCAGAAAATATGACAGGTTATATAATTAAAAATAAGGAAATAAAAAAAAATGACATGCAAAAAAGTATATAATTTAAAAAAAAAATATTGACAATAATTACTGCGGATGAGATAATTTGGAAAGAAAATAAAAAAGAAAAAGTTTTTGAAAATAGACAGTTTGGTCTGTCCAAAACATTGAAAACATCACAGAGAAGTTGTTTTGAAATTTCAAGATGTTTAAATTCCAGGAACTTACTCTACAGCAATGAATCATAACATTAGAAGTGTATGAAATAGTAAAAAAGTAGCATAGCTTTTTAAAAATGTTTCACATATTAAAATTTATTCGCATATTAATAGCAGTGCCTATTTAATGAGTAATTTCTTTCAAGGACATTTCATATCTTGAATACTAATTTACGATTAGAAATACAAAAGTCGATATCAATAATAAAACTTAAAAAAAAAAAAAAAAAGAACAATTGTACCTTGCCGTTTCTATCAAATTTCGTTTCCCAACCCCTGGGAAGTTCTTTTAAGGGATCAGCGAAGAAATTGATGAAAGCGACGAGATCTCTGTTGTGCTGGTATCGCTCGAATGAGCTCATATCTCTCCGAATTTTTGATATCATGTGCTTCAAAGACCCATTACGATTGTAAAGAGCAAGTCCATCCTGTTGGAAAAAAAGATGAACAAATTAAAATTTATAATAAAATATCTTGCAGATCAAGAAGGATCATAGAAGTGTTCGGTACAATTTAAAATTATTACATAAATGTAACTAATATAAGACCTACAAATATAAAATAAAAGGTTTTATAGAAAACATAGATGTTATAATAGATAATATATTGATAATATACTGATAATATTAACTACTACAACTTATTATGGTTATAGAACTCATGGACATTATGAGGAACTAATACTCTAGCAAAAAATAAAAATTTATGCCTGTGGCCAGCAAAAGTTTTCATTGCATTGGTTGAAAATATAAAAAAAAAAATCAATAAAGGCAGTTCTTTACTACATTTTTTTAAAAATTTAAACATCTAAATATAAGTTCAATACCATTTTTACTAATTGTATCAAAAATATCTTCCTAATAATAAATGCATATATTTTTAAATAAGATTTTAAGTATAAAATAAGAATTTTAAGGCAGCAAAAGTTATTGAAGTTATATTTAGACATTTAAATAAAAAAAAGTAAGTAGTAAAGAATTTTTATATTTTCAATCAATGTGTGTATGAAAACCTTTGCTGGCCAGTGTGTATCACCATAATATGGAAATATAGCATCATTATAACAATTTACTTAACTATCATCATTTTCAATTAATTAATTGATTAATAATAAAGTTATGGTTGGGTATAGTCTAAATAGAAAATAAAATAATAATAACAACTGAACTACGTTGCCTCCGTTGCCTTCCCACTCAAAACAACAGATACCGAAGTAAACAAGAAAGATAAGGATTGTATTTTAAGTTTTTATTACTTTATAAATAACAAGAGATTAGATTTGTTGTTTGCATAAACTCAGGCCTAATACTTTGAACCTTCTTATTTTCATAGATAAGCTTAACGACGTAAAATTTGAAACACGCCCCAAGAGCTGAGGTGTTAACGTATGCTGTAATAGTTGAATAATTAATACTTTGCATGTAGGAGAAATTTTACATGTTTTCCTGTAACACTTATGAAGACAGCTTTAATATTGCACAATATTGATTATGTTTATAAAACAACAACAACAGAATTATAAAAGAAGATCTGCAAAACAACAGGATAGTAAAAGGATAACATTTGAGAATTATTAAATTTATTTAATCAACTGCATAGCAGAGTGAAATAAACAGTTGATAATTTTTAAAGGAATTAAATATAAAATAATTGTGGGTTGATGGTTGACTATAGTGAATAATTGAAGGGAAGGATGGTCGGGATGATCAGTCAAAATAAAATAGTAAAACTAAATAATTTTATTTATTTTTATATTTACTGACCTAATTTTACCCATAAGATTACCATTTTCCATTGCTTATGTTACCTTATTTTGATTAAGTTTATTATATTAGTCCGTACTTTGTAGCCGTTATTATTATTTATTTCTTAGTTCTCTGTTACTGTTATTATTCTACCTACTTTATTTTACTTTAATGTTCACTCTATTTACTTCACTTTACTTTAAGTTTGTTCTACCTGCATTTTTCAGTCTATACCTTTCACCTTTTTAATTTTAACTATTTATTATTCAATGTTTATAATTTCTCATACCTATTGTTATCTGAATTTTTTTTTCTTAGCCCTGATGAAAGAAGACCTTAACTGCAGGACGAAACATCACCAATATAAAAATAAATATAATTATTTATTTTTACTATTTTTTATTTTTATTGATCACTTCAACCATCCTTCTCTTCAATAAAAACAATAGGTGATCATAAATATGTATATTGCTGTTATTTATCTTTCAAAAGAAACCAATGAACAAAGTAAATATTTAAAAATGTTTACTTATTTCATATAAAATAGTACAAAGAATAAGTGAAATATATCACTTATTAATGTAACAATTTTACATGTTTATTCTATTTGTGCTGAAGGTGACATTTTGCAGTCTGCTACTATGGAAAATACAAGAGGGAAATAAAATATAACATTATACTAATAAATCAGAAAGAAATAATCAGTTTTTCTTGCTTCTCTGTAAAAAAAAACAACTCAATTTTTACATGTAACCTTTTGCACTAACAGTAGCAATATGATTATTATTTGAATTTTTAAAATTTACAAAACAAAAAGTATACAAAAACTTAATGTGGAGATACTTTCACCCCAAAAAGGTTACTTATAAAAAAGGGAATTAGGAAACCAATAGAGAAATATATGGTGCCATAAAAAGAAAAATCACTTTTGAAATAAATATAACTTATAAGATTGTTAACATACTTATAATTAATTTATAAGTATCATTCATTAGATGGGACGGTGTGGGTGGAATGGACTAACGCATGTGCACAGCACCGTGAGTTGCCCGGCAACCAGATAACCAAACTTATGAAAGATTAAAAAAAAGTACGAGTTCACGTCCCAGTGATGGAGAGGATTTTAAATTCCCTGCTCTCACCCTCCCTGTCCGGGAAAACCCTGTATAGCCTAAAAGGCGAAAAACAAAATATCATTCATTAGTTTGCCGGATTTTATATAAATAAATAATATGTTTCATGAATGCAAAATCAGATCTGAACGCTGTTCTTTAAATAAACACTTCATAATTTTAAAGTTCTTCATCACTATAGTGACAGTTTCTCTGTTTTAGTATGAATGGTGAAACAATAAAAATATAAGAATCAACATTCAACTGATTCATCACTAGGTAGACAGTAGACTGCGTATTGTGACTGATTCACAGATTCCTGTAAGGTCATTTACCTCCCTCCACTGCTAATTATCCATTTACAAAGTGATTTTTTTGTAACTGAATGGTATCATTTTTAACTACTTGTTTGAAATTGCATAAATTACAGAATTCATAAATAAAAAAAACATATAAATTTAAAAATTTTAGAAGTGTTATATATCTCAAAAATGGCCACTCTTTTTGTTCCACTATCTAGTAAAGCAGATACAAGGTACTTGAAAACAAAAAAAAAAAAGGTTTCAAATTACATTGAGATAGAATTAGTAAAGTATGGGAACTAATTTTTCTAAATATCAGATCATTCAGAGCAAACGATTCAATTATTAATCTAAAAGTTAACATACAATTTTAAATAAAATAAAATTAAGGAACTGACAATTACCTGATTAGTATGCAGAAGGCTGAAAAAGTCTGGCCTCGATAAAAATTTGATCGCAGGTGATTGATAAATATCATGATTGGGCAACTGAGTCGTTGTTCCGTTATCGGGAGTGTCTTCGACTTCAGGTTGGCGTGATGTAATAGTTCTTCTAATTGATTGATACCTAAAAAAAAGAAAAGAAAGTTTTAAAATTGTAACATGTAAATGAAATTTGACCTGCAAGAACTAAATTATAAATCAAGAATAAGAAATAATTCAAAAATATTGAAAATGCTTTAAGAAAGTTTTGTTTAAAGATGGAGTCATATGAGTGGCTTCATATCAAAGAGGGAGGAGATCTATCATTTTAAGTAAACAGAGAAAAAGTTATAAACTTATAGGATCAATTCAAACTGTTTCTGATGGTTTTATTTAAGAATGCTTAAGTTGAATCATGAAAAAAAATCATTAGAATTGGTTTAAATTGAAGCTGTGTCATAGAAAATTGGATTTTTCATTTTTTTTTTACTTTTTAAAAATTACAGATGTCTGTCTTTGATCTTCAGCCACTGATACGTCTTATATTGATGCCATGCAATTTAAATGACACTGTTCATAAAAAAATTTAAAATTTTAATATAGTTGGATCCTACTGATCCATCCTAGACAGAAGTCATGGCCATATAGAAGAGTAAGGTCGATATAGCTTAGAACAACCTCCCCAGGAGTGATAACAAAGAGAAACCATATTTTGGGAATTATAAAAAAAAATTACAAAGCATATAAGGAAAATTAATTTTAGCATATTAATAAAGAAACCAAAACAGAGAAATACTGAATGTAATGCAATAATATAACACAAAACAGTTTAAGAAATAAATTGAATTTTTTTAGTAGAAATGATGCTATTGTCTGGAGACACCAAATATCTAAGACTGCCAATGCTAGTTAGGAATGAGATATCTAAAAGTAATGTTTGTAACCATATGTATTAAATAAATGATGAAGTTAAATCTATTAAATACAATTTTTAATACTAATATGTTATTTAAAGAAAGCATACCTTTTCATTAAAGAACTATAATTTTAAAAACATAAAAAAGAAATCCCTAAACTGTATTACCTAATAGGAAATTTAATACATTAACTAAAATATCGTGTTTATGAGATAAGTCGCAAACTAGGAAAAATACTGGGGAGGGGCTAGTTTTTTTTAATAGTAATACTCAATAAGAAAAAAGAAAGAAACTATATAAAATAACGTTAAACTGGCCCTTGAAGGCCTGTCTGTTTACAAAAACAATAATACTTTCTATGGAAACAGTCAAGAACATTATTTGAGCAATAATTTATTTTTTTAAATTTATTCAACACAAATGAATAATAAAATGTCTTAAAGAGGTAAGTTATTATGTAATTTTTTGGAGAAGTGATAAAGAATGTAGTGTGACATGCCCACAAAGTTGATATATACATATTTGGATATAATAAACAATGTTTTTCTTAACATGCGTTTACATTTAGTAGATGAAATACAAGCATTGTAATTTTCAATGTTTCACCAGAGAAAAAAACAAATTATTTTTCAATTTTTGGAGGAGGGGACTACAGCACAAAAGCCGCCCAAAATGGAATCATTAATTTTTCAGTTGTTCCGACTTTCTTCTGAAGTATTGAGTAAATATATTTATATACAAGTATATAAACATTCACAAAGATACAAATTTAGAGGTTACGTTATAAGTTGTGTCAGTTTTCTTTGATGCTAGATTTTAGAAACAATTAATATTTCTAGAAAACAAGTGAGTATTAAATTATATAAATACATTTTGTTTTGTATTTAAATCATCTTGTTTTATCTATACCCTTTTTTTTTTTTTTTTTTTGTCTTTAAATCAAATATAGTTTTTCTTAATTATCTAAAATTACCTCCTGTCAAGCTGCTGCCGCTGCAAATCGTTGTTTGATGCCCTAGCTCTTGACAGGGTACTGTGGCTCGGTCTTTGCCAGGTGGTCATTCTATTAATGTGGTCGATGTAAAATATTCTTCCATGGCTGTCGATTCTAGCTTCCCAATCTAAAGAAAATTAATAAAAAAACATAAATGAATATATAAAATATTAAATTAATTGTTTTTACACAATTTACTACCAAATCTTACCTATATATAATAAGGTATCAAATAAAAGTGAAGTAGTGAAGGATCGGTAACGAATCTCCATTTTTATCTTTAAATTCCAACAAAAACTTCAATAAGAATCATTGAAAAAATTAAGAGATTTTAAAACTCAGATGGTTTAAAAATGACAGATTGAGTTGGTATAAAATGTGTTTTAAATGTTTTGAAGCGAATATCAAGAGCTTAAAATTTGGGATAAACCGTAATTCTTACTGAAAGCCTTTTAGGTGCTATATTGACATGGTGTACTTATCAGATGTTTAGGTTTTAAAAATTCAAATATTTCTATTTATGATAGTCCTCAAAGAATTAAAATATATTTAAGAGATAAATGGAGAAGAATAGACTTATAATCCATAGGGCACTTCAAGCAATATAGAAACTTTTTAATATTTTTAATAAATATATTCTATACTTTCAACAAAATATCTGTTCTCTTAGTAATAAGTGAGAGAATTACTAATCTAGGCTCTTCAGCACCAAACAAATAGGTCTTGAGAGAGTACAATAATGGATTTGTATAAGTTTAGTTTATTTGTATAAGCCTCATTGCTTGATTATCAAACTGGAGAGATATTTTCCAGAGGGACAAGTTAATCACATATTATCTATTTGTTACTTTAACCATTGTGGTAAAGTATGAAGCTCCACAATTGTATTCATGAATAAACATGTTTGTCACTAATAATTCAAATGCATTAGGGAGAAGGATAACTATTTAATGTGAGCGTTCTCACGAGAGTATACTAATTAATAATTAATTTAATATATATAATAATATTACTAAATTAATACACTAAATAAAATACTTACAAGGAGGTAGAGGCTCATCATCAGTTGTTTCAACCCTCTGATGCTTTATAGATCTTTCTGGGATTGATGGAAGTCTAGTTGAAGTTATATGCCTCACTGGTGGTTGAATATCTTCTTCACTCGTATGAAATACTTCATCTTCCTCCTGCGTCCTCGCAACCCTTTGTGGTCTAGCATGGTGCGTAGGAGTAGGAGGGCACTGTGGTACCTCCATCCTCCTCAACCTCGCCTCCGGCGGATGACTAACTTGCCTCGATAAAGGCTTATGCGGCCTGATATTAGTCATTAAATTCTGAGGCTCATCACATGCGGAAACTAAGGAATCAGAACTCGAACTATGCGTAACCACTGTCGCTCCTTCTGAGGAGTTAGAAGTATTCATTGCAACGCCCGAGTCTGTAGGAGATATCGGAGATAATCTAGATATGGTTTCGGGTACAGTCAGTTTCCCCGCAAGTTCACAAGTCATAGTAGTTTCTTTGGCAGCTTGACTTGTCGAGGGAACTGGTGATTCACGTCTCGCATCAGAAATGGGTTCCGAATTGGTATCTACTAAACTGTTATCATGTTCAGGAGTAGCTAGAGGTGCACAATCTCCATCCTGAACTAAAGACAAATCGACAGGCCTGTCCTCTTGGGTCCTGTCCATACTCTGAAGACTAGAAGCATTGGATAACTCATCAGTGTCGACAATTTCAAAACCAAAACTGTCTTCAGGATTAGTCATCTTCTTAGGTCTAGGAGGGAGTGTTGGACCCTCCGAAGGTTTGTTCTTCCTATGGATTTCTGGAGGTCTCCTTAAGCCGATAGCTCTCGTCCTCTCCAAAGGGCGATGTCGAGGAGGGATTGTGCGAGGTGGCAGCGGTGGTGGAGGTTCTTCACTTGGGTAGACTGTCTCATAAACCGAAGGTGATGTAGCAGTCTTCTGTCCCCAAATCGGATAATACTCACTCTGTTCTACATCTAAATTCTTTTGAGCTTCGTGAGAATTCCATGTCGGTAAGTCTTTGGAAGATGTCCTCGAAGAATCTGTATCGGAGTCTTCCCGCTCTTGGTGAAGAAAGCCGTTAGGAAGGGATGATTTCTTTTTCAGCAATCTCCAACCTTTCTTACGGTACTTGGAAGATGTTTCTGGATCCGATTCGCTTTCAGAACTACAATTCGATCTCAGCCTAGCCATATCACTATGGCGGGGCAGATCTCGTTTTTTAAAGTCTTTTAACTTAGTTTTATCACGTGTTTGCTTATAAGCTGACTCGATATCCATAGGCTCTGATTGGGCCAAACAGGAAAATGAGAGTCCGCTGTAATATCTAAAGCACATCATCTTGCTATTTTCTGCAACAAATCGAAATATTATTTTATATTAAAATTGAGTAAATAAACGCCCATTAACGACAACTAAATAACTAAAAATATATTTACCCTGACTTAGTGTATCCTGTGGGAGCTCAAACTGCCACATAGTTGACCCAGTTCCAAGGCCCAAGTCTTTTTTGTAGCGAACAATGCATGGTACTGGATTGCGTTCATCTGAAAATGAAAAATAATTGTAATTATACATTTTTAAAATTTAGCTGAACTGTTAGGAGATGCATTACAGTAAAAAATAAATAAAAAATGTCTCAAGAAATTCAATATCTGGTCCAATCGCCCTCAATGGAACTTAGGTGTATTTAATTTAGAAATTGACAATCTGATGAAACACAACTTTAAGCTGAATGGCACGAAAAGGATGATGATAAACAATAACAAGATTTCATTTAATCTCTTATGCATTTCTTATAAAAAATATTTTTACATATTGACTTGAATTAATTGAAAATTACTATTCTTCAAGCAAATTAAATTGTTCTGATAATAAAACTTTTGTTAATCCAAACGTTTCTTCAACAAATAAATTCATCATATTTTTTTTTTCAGAAGAAATTAGTCGGTGGGTGCAGTAAAAAAATAATATATATATATTAATATATGGGTTGATGGTTGACTGTAGTGAATAATTGAGAAGGGTGGTTGGGATGATCAGTCAAAATAAAAAATAAATAATAATATTAATTTTTACATTTGCCAATGTTTCAGCCCGAAGTTCAGACCTTAATCAGGGCTGAGAAAAGAACCAGATAACAATAGTAAGTAGAAAAACTTAGTTCTTAGTTCAAACAAAATATTGTAATTTTGATAGATTTTATAATACCTCAATTTTCTATTCATATCTATTATTTCCTTATATGATTTCATGTTCCTTTTCTCTGTTTTACGTTTAATTCTAAGATTACCATTTTTAGTTCTTACGTTAACTTATTTTGATAATGTTTACTTCATTAGTCCGCACTTTGTAGCCGTTATTATTATTTATTAGTTCTCTGTTATTGTTATTATTCTACCTACTTTATTTTACTTTAATGTTCATTCTATCTATTTCATTTTACTTTAAGTTTTTCTACCTACATTGTTTATGTTTCTCATAACTATTGTTATCTGGTTCTTTTCTCAGCTCTGATGAAGGCCTGAATTTCGGGTAGAAACGTCGGCAAATGTAAAAATAAATATTATTATATATATAATAGTATATTTATTGCATTGTCCTACGTTTCGACTAACATTGTAGGTCTTCTTCGAGGCATTTCCCGGAAATTTTGTTCCTACTACCGACATTCTTTTCCAACAAATGAATAGTGGAACAAACTTTACATTTTGACACCTCCGAAAAATTGCAACAGCGACGACTAGATATATTAATAGTACGTTAGATAATTCTAGAAGAGTATTAGGTAGAATCTTATAAATAATATATTAAGATAGATAATATAGTAAAACTAAAATATAGTATAGTATTACAAAGAGATATGTTATATAATAGATATAGTACACTATGGGAGAGCCGAATGGAGGTAGACACCAATTGGTAGAATCAGAGCTGATTCCGAACAGCCTAAAAATAGTGTTGTCTGCCAAGGTTAGTCCGTCATCCGGATCTTCGATCTACACCGCGATGCATCTCGTATAATATAAATAGGCATCATTAATATATATATATATATATATATATATATATATATATATATAATATTTATAGGTTTCTAGACATAACATAGACGCAGGGAACAAACGGGAGAACCATTGCCTACCCGATTAATAAAATATGGGAATTGAGAATATAATAATAAATATTCTACATGAATAAATAAATCATGAAGCCTAAAATCACATAAAAATGACTATCTGGCTAGATTAAAGCACCAGAAGTACATCAAGAATTATCACTCACTATAAGTTCCTTAATTTAAATTTAAATTTACCAGGGGACTCCCTGTCCGCCCGACGGCGAGCCAACCCCCATTTTACAAATTATACAACAGTTCGTTTAATTGTACTACTCGTTACTCAAATTATAAAATTATAATTTACATATATTCAGTGGTATAGATTGTATTACTTTTTATCAACATAAAATAAACTGAACGAAACCACACTGTAGACAAATTTTTAATTTCTTTAAAAATATATATTATACATCGTGCCTTATTGCCAATTTATAATATTATATAATTATAATTATTCTCATTGCCAATTTGTAACCATAACATATATTCAACTTGTCCAGCTTCATAAAAGTCCAACATCAATTTGAGCCTTATATTTCTAATATTTTCATTGTGCTTCCTTTTCTGTTTCATAATAATTATAATAATATCACAATATAATAATTAGTATGTTGTATTCAAGAGGGAAATGTCTAGATCGAAAACTGCTGTCATCTAGGTAAAATCACTACCACCTCCAGATGAATAAGATTTTCCGTACAAATTTTTGGTCTAAAGTTTATATTTTGTATTAGGAAAGTAGGAGATTACAGGAGCTCAATACTGTAAGGAAGACGTGTAGAAGGAGGGTGTAAATCTCTATTTTGTATTGGGATAGTAGGAGGCTACAGCAGCTCAACACATACGTAATTAAATGAATAGCTGTATAATTAGTACTAATTATAGAGTTAATAACAGAATTCCTTTTATCTCCTACTATCCTAATACTAAAATAAAAAATGAAAGTCATTATTTTTTTTTTATATAATAGATTTATAAACATTTTTAATAGTTAATTGAAAATTGATAAAATTGTTACCAGACCATTTATGCGTTATTTTTCGAATTTTCTCCAACTAAAGGTCAAATTGAATGAGCCGTTTTTGAAATATACGTGTAGAGAGGAAAATACGTTTGATCAATTTTTTACTAATCGCTAACTTCTCTCTATCTTCGAGCATTATCGAACGAGCTATTTTTTATATATAGGCGTAATTACGTACGTTTGCACACCCAAAAGCGTAAGTAAAAGATAGCATTTGATGAAATTGATATGAAATTATCCAAGTATCAGCCAACACAATCTCTGAAAATTTGGCGATAATTAAATTACTGATAGTACGATATGCACGTCACATGTGTTTGACGACAGACATGGAACCAAATTTGTTCCCTGATGCCCAAAACGTAAAACACGAGTAGATTTTCGATTCCGATGTTTTTTTAACATCCTCCGTGAATACAAAGCTTCCCTATGTTCGGTAGTGAGAAAGAAAATAAGAAAAATGTAAAATATCGACATTAATAAATGTTATACATTTTTAAATCATCTTCTGAAACAGCCTAAGGCCCTTTTCGAAGGCGTTTACAGGCGTCAAACCGGATCAATTTCCACGCCAATAAATCTTCCTACAACTAATTTTTCTACTTCACACATTCAAATTATCTTGACCTCATATCTCATCCCTAATAGCTTACTATAATGAGCTGCGGCCTCGAGGTTTGAAGTAGAGCGCGCCTTACAGAATATAAAATAATGATATTTATAATAAAGGTATTTGAGTATCATTAAATGAGTCGTTTATTTCCAAAATAGACACTAATCATCTTTGACGAATTTTCAGGAAACGCGCAAAACTATATTTCCCATTTTTAAAAAAAATAATTAATTAGATATAGATATATAGTTGAATGTTGAATTTGTAAGGATGAAAAATAGTCAGGATGTATAGCCAAAAAAATTATCTTTATTGAGGTTGCCAGCGTTTCCACTATAAATTTCCCTTTTGGTCAGTGAGATTCTCCCTTTTTTTCTATCAAAATAAAAATAATTTCCGACCAAATATATACAAAATAATATATATATATATATATATATATATATATATATTATATATATATATATTCCTGTTCTTCCCTGCCTCGCCTTTTTAGGCTATACGGGATTTTCCCGGACCAAAGGGTGAGAGGGCGGGGAATTTAAAATCCTCTCTGGGACCGGGACGCGAACTCGTGACTATTTTCATATCATAGAATCATATATCCGGTTGCCGGGCAACGGCGGTGCAGTGCACACGCGTTAGCCCATTCGGCCACCCCGTCCCCACAATACAAAATAATATATGTGTAACAACGTCAGTTTTACTTATATTGTTAAAAAATAGACTAAACTGAGATTATAATTGGCTTTGATTGATAAAATTATATCCCTTTTTTATCGACCTAACATAGGTATTTCCTTAAGAGGAGAACTTTTTTGAAACCCTGTTGTCGACGTAATCGCTCAGTTCTTGTCCGTCCTTCATCAAACTATTATAAAACTATTTATATTTGTTAATTTTTCTTATTTATTAAATTGTTTTATTTATATTAATTAATTGGTTTATTTATTTTTACTTTTTATATAATTATATTTTTTCATTTATTTTTAACAAAAACATTTTCTTAGCATATGTTTTTTTTATTTCTGGGTTAATATTACCTTTATCTCATTTGTACGTTCCACACCTTTATTTTCTTACTCATATCCTTCTATATTTACCACTTTTCTAATGCAAATTTGTATTTTTTTACTTTTAGCTCTGTTGAAAATCCACATATTTGGGTCGAAACGTCAGCAAACTAAATAAACATCATTTTTTTTTACTGCACATTCTGACCATTTTTCATACTTTAAAATTAATTAATTCTTTATTTGTAGAATTATTTCCGAGAATCACTGATTTTTTTCATCAATATTTAAGAAAATATTGAGTTTGAAATTTCGTTGCCCGACTTATAAGAAAGAATCCAACTTCCAGACCCGTTGTCCATCGATATCTTGAAAATCTGGACATTTCACATCTGTCTCTTCCCCTATTGTCTCAACACTTCAATCCATTGAGCGCTGCAGAGAAGGCTTTTCGATCACTTTTTGCTTCTTAGCCTTCAACAACTGAAAGCAGCATTACCATGCTTATGGCATGAAGTTCCTTGTGCAATCAGTGAAAAGATTATGAACAGTACGCCCAATATGTGCAAAGAGATATAGAACGTAACAGAGGATATTGCATAAATTATTAAACTTTACAAAATGTTTACACTTCACAATCATAATACAAAGATCACATAAACGTTTAATTTTATTATGAGAATGATGTAGCCCTCCCGCAGTGCTACATCCTACGCCCTGAAGACGACCTGCAAAGTGGGTCGAAACGTCGGCAAAAATTAAATAATTACTATATTTTAATTTAGTATTTATTTGACCGCACCCCTCTCCCCCAATCAACTCCTCATATTATATCAACAGTCAATCATCTCTACATCTTTAATTTTATTATTTTTCAAAAGCACCTTTAATAAAATTTCCGAACGTCAAATACAATCTTATTTATATTAATTATCAATTAAATTTAGGAAAAACAAAATGAAAATTCTAAGGAAAATAAATCATTCATATCGAACAATATCCTCATTCATTTATGCGCAGTAAACAATAAACAGTAACTACATAATTAAAAACTTCATTAACTATAACTAAATTAACTCAAAAGGCCCAATAGTTCGGTTCTGATTAATTAATTGGGTGAGGATGTGGTGGACTTGAGAACCTTGTACTTTGAACCAGAGAGAGAGCTCGCGCCATCCCGATCAGGTTTCGGTCCCAGAAGAGGAAGGCACACAGAGATCCTTGACTCGATTCTCGCCGCCGCAGATCGACCTCCAGCTGCCGTAATGAGGCTGACAACTAACGGGCTTCGGGGTCTATCCAATGGCTTCTTAGCAATTAGCTTTTTGGGGGATATCTTAAATCACTGTGACCTAAATATCCTTGAATTAGTTTATTTGGTATATATAATTTACCTATAATCTGTCACACTAACCTAAATCGAAAATGATATTGCAATAATAAACTATCGATTTTTTATGAATAACTTACAATTTTTTTGTTTAGAACTACTTTATTGAGTAATATAATATTCTGTCACAATGAGCAAAGAGTTCAAACTACAGCGTGTTACAATATAAATACATTAAATTAAATTAAAGCAAAATAATAACTGCGTAATATTAATGAAATAAAAAATAAGTACATTAAAATAATTTAAGATCTCTTTAAGTATTATTGTTCGTATAATTACAATAGGACTTCAAGAACCCCGTAAACACCATTTCATATATGTAGTTAGTAGTTAGTATTTATCTTTTTTTTTCTAAAGTAATTATCATTATAAATATGAAAAAAAAAAAAAGCTTTCGGGCTATTAAAATTAAATCCTGGATCCACTAGTGGTGACAGTGTGCTCATCTCCTGTTCTCGGTAGACAGTACGGCACCTTAGATCGCTATAAATAACGCGACTTTTCAGTAAACATTGCAACATTCCAATTTGTATCCTCATTTATTCGCTTGCTGCACCAATTGAAATGAATACAATAAGCAAAAAATATAAATATTACAATTAATCATTGCGCAGTATAGATCTACTTTAAAGAGAAATTGGTCGTTTATGCGGTCAAATGAGTCACATTCATGATAAGTAATACAGGAAAAATAGACAAAATATAGAACAAAATTTGTACATTCATGAAACTTTTCAGAAGTTATAAATTGTTCTTGTTGGTAACAATAGAAATGTGCCCGAGTCGTTCTAATTGACAAAACAAGTACAATTGATCTGTTTAATTTGTTACTGGTTTCAAGATATTCACGTTTCGATCTAAGTTGTCTATGTCGGGTTAGAAATAACAAGATAAAAAAATTAATGATAGATTAATTCATAATTTTTTAAAATAAAAAAAATGTTGCATACTGAAAATAACCCCTAGGCTGAAAGCCATTTGGGGCGTATCCCGCTCGTTAAGATTAGTTTCGATGGTTAATTTTACGGCCATTTTATATCGCCGTTATTCGATGCTTTCTGAGTTCAGCAAACCCAGCTGAAGGGAATTGCTGTCATTGGGGAGACAATTCCGCTGCACTTTAGCAGCATTATTGCAATAAGGATCGTACCATATAGTAATTTTCCCCATTTTTATAGTGTTTATATATATATATATATATATATATATATATATATATATATATATATAACAGGCGGAAAATTCGCCATCACATAAGTAATTACATCAATTATTATTTTAACCATTGTTACTTTCACTTACCTATTATGTAATATATAGTATTGCGATCGTGAAACTTTTCGAGTCTGAGTTTTCAACGAAAACACACGTTATGAGGTACCCTGAGCCCAAATAACGAAGTCCCGAAAAATGTTCTATGTCTGTGAACAATCTAGCTCGAAAACGAAAAGCCATACGAAACTGATATTACGTATTTAAGATAGATATATGTCTTACATGTGACAGCAATTTTTTCCTTAAAATCAGCTAACCGGAAGTGCCACTTTATATCAACGGTGAAACGCATTTTTACAATTTTCTCAAAAACGGCTCTAAAGATTTTGATTAAACTCGGTGTATCACTGTATAATTAGGTGGTTTTTAATATCACTAGGCCTTATCCCCGTTGATGTCACTTTGCAGGGCTTAAATGCCCAAATTTCATATACGTCTTCCTCTAAAGTAATTTTGATATGGTTCATTTGAAATGATTAAATATCTCTCATTATTGAAAGTTACGAAAATATACTAACTATAACTTTTGAAAGAATCTGTTAATATAATAAAAGAGAAAAATATAATAATGCCTATCCAGGTCAAAAATGAACCTTCGGTATACGTATAATGAGGATCGTACCACATAGTAATTTTCCCCATTTTTAGAGTGTTTATATATATATAAGCTTAAAATATATAAGTTTCCATTAAGCTTAAAATAAAATAAATCATTTCCTTCTGCCATATAAGTAATTACATCATTTATTATTTTAAATAAATAAAGAATATAGTTTTATTAACAGCTTGAAATGAAAAGACAATTTTAATACAAGGTCCACATATGACGAATTTTTATTTATTTTTTTATATTTTAATTATTTTTTATTGTTTTGTTTTGGCTATTCTTGGAATTTCAGTTAGTGTGATCATGAGATTTTTGACCCATCTATCAAAGTGGAATGATACTTGTTAAGTAGTACCTAGTACGTCATATAATAATATATTATATTAATATATTTTATAAAATATATTCCGCTTTATAATATATATGTAAGACAAAATGAAAAGTAAGTTCTCAAGATGAAGCTCAGAAGCCTTAGTTCTGAAATAATAGGATTATCTACTCAGCAAGTTAGAGCTGAAGGTAGGGGATCAGAAGAGGGTACTAACATCGTAGTACTGTGAGAAAATATGTAAAAAAAAAAACAGTTTTATATCCACCAAAACCCTCAACCTTTTAAAAAGCCTCATTTGAATTCAAAATTAAGACATTTTTATACTTTAAAAGTTTATTTTTTTTAAATGCAAATCATGTAATATCTTCAAATCTAGCTTTAAAATTACATTTTTCGAATTTATTTTTAAAATATTCTTTTTTTGAAAATTCACACGGTACTAAAATACGATAGTATACAGGTGTGCCCTTTTATTTTATTTTTTAGTTTGATTTTTCTTTATAATTTTAATAGGTTTATTCACATTGATTATAATTTTTATCTAATTATTATGTGACTTCCACATTTTTTATATCCTTTTGTGTCTTGTTCGTTCTAACCCTGAAGAAGACCTGCAAAGTCGGGTCGAAACGTTAGCTTGAAATAAAATAGTTTTTTTTTCACTACTTTAGTCTTGTTATGACCTACACCCGGGACCATCTCCTTACTCAATAGCTAATTATATTTTCGTGTATCCTGAATAAATGAAATCAAATTCCATTAGATAAAGTTAAGTCCACTTCTAGAGGCCCTATATCCTGGGAAGTCAAACCGGCTCCATATACTGGGCGATAAATCATCACGCAGCCGATTTCTCAGCTTCACACTTCACGCTATCCTGACCTTCCGATAACTTATGAAGATGATCCTGTCTTAACCGGTTTCGATACAGAGAAGAAATATATATTAAAGGAAGAAGATAAAGCCAATCATGACTGGGAAAAAACTTCGGAATTGAGGTCAGCATAATGAAAGTTCAGATTTTATGGGGAACAAAACTCATTAAATAATGAGTCAGCTGATAAACAAGTTGAATCATTAACGATTATTTATTTCCATATTAAGCTAATGCGGTAAAGAGTTGATCATAGGAAATTATGTTTTTTTTTCGATATTAGGTGAAGGGAAAAATAACACATTAACAATAAAATTCTTAGTGAAAAATAAGGTTTATTCCGATACCATCAATAGCACGTCGGTCCACGCACTTCCATCCACCGACCGCCGTATAGACACAACCCCGCGGAATCAGCCTAAACCCAATTCTTCTAGCCCTGGAGTAAATTAAAGAAAGTTAAATTTTGCGTCAAACGAGTACATAAACCTTATAATTTGGTTATGAGGTAAGATATAAGACCACGGACAACCAAAGCTGATTTTTACCAAATTTGTCAAAAAAAGAGACAAATTACTATAAATGGCCCTGTAATACTAATTTAATGTAGGTCACTTCCGATGGTTATAAATTAGTCATGAAGATTAACGTGATTTTCAATATTTCAACAGTAGGGTGTCTATTCTACTGAGTTTTATTTTATTATTTTCAATAATGAAACATTGTGATCGACCAAAAAATTCAAAAACATAACCCCCTCTCAAAATTTGAGGTTTCACGTTTCAAGACGCGTAGAATTCGAAAAACGACTGTACAGATTTCAATGAAACTTCGCTAAAGTCATTTTCTCGACGCCCTTTAAATTTATCTATATAACATACTTCAACGAAAAGAAGCTGGAAAAAAAGTTACGAGGGATGATAAAATTAAATTCCGAATAACTCGAAAAGTTTTTACTTTTTTGTTGATATTGTGTATGGTTTTTTAAAAGTTTACGAAATGTCCTAAAAACAAAAAATCGGACAATTAGGAGCTAAGGTATGGTCTCCGGTTTTTTAAAATGTGTTCTACTCCAAATGTTATATCCTTGGTTTTGTTTTTAAATTTTAAATGTGTTACTGAACTAATGCTATTTTTTTTAGCATATTACTAATGATTAAAGAAAAACAGTTTAGTCCAATAATTGGAATCACCTTTTGTTTTGTTTTTCTTTGTAACTCGGAAGGTAATGCTACTTTAGATGTATAATTGTTTGGAAATAATAAACCACTGTGAAATAATTTGTAGCGTTTTTTGTTTTGGAGCCTGTTACATGCAATATGTCTTTTTTCCACCTTTCAACAGTAATCACGGATCTCCCTAGGAAAAAACGCCCATTACCTAAAGATGAAGTAGCCCCTAGTAAGATTGAAACTATAAATTTTGAATTAAAATCAATTTGATTTCTAAAGTACTATACAAACTTTATACGTTTATTTTATTCTGTTTTAGAGATTTTAATGTTGTTTGGCTAATCCGGATCCCCTTAGTACATAATTGTACACTACCACATAATTTTGTTTTTTCACTACCAAGCTATTGTATTCGAGCGGGAGGTTAAAAAAAATAATCTTATGCACAGAATCGAAAAAGACATTAAGAAACAAGTTTTTGGTTGTGTCTAGTTACAATAGTCAAATCGACTTAACAGGCATATCACAAACTATCGTTTATCGGATTTTCATGAAATTTTCAGAGATTAGGCGGTTTGGGGCCTAGATAGTCCCGTATCAGTTCTGGTGTTGCCCAAAATTGGTCTTGGTCTTGCACTTTGCTTGCAAGACCAAGACCAGGACTACAAAAAAAACAAACAACTATTTTTTAAATAAAAATTAAGGCAAAATAGTTACTAATACTTGACAATCTTAGTTACTATATGTTAATAATTGGTATAACCAATATACTTTTGCATTTAACGCCTCTCATTTTTCATTCGGGCTTAGTTAGGTTTCTCTTATCTGAAAAATTACAGTAATATCTCTATAGTAATAAGCTAATAAGTAAATGCAAGACTGTTGCGAGACTATTGACCAAGACCAAGACCGTGACCAAGACTGAGTTTGCAGGATCAAGACTCGTCTCTGTCTCGCATTTGGACAACACTAATCAGTTCCGTTAAATTTCATCCAATACTTTCGCTTGCACACGCGTAAAGGTATTTTCTTAGATATGCTTATATTTCAGAAATGGTCGATACGATATGGATCAAAGTTGGAAATTGGTAAAAAAATTATGTAGTATCAATTTTATTGAATTTCATCCACACACACATGCCACATTATATATATATATATATATATATATATATATATATATATATATATATATATATTGATGTATTATAGAGCGGAAAAGGGAGAGGAGACGGAGAACTCCACTAATTGACCAGAACGGAAGTAATCAATTGGGAGAGGCCCCGGGAGCCGGCTACAATTACAATCCGGTGACGTCACCTCAAGGTGAAAACTAATTTTCGAAACGATTTGGATATTTTAGGAAAACTGGTAGCTGTCCACAGGTAAATGAAAATAATGTAATGTAGTACAGATACGTAGGTTATCAATTAATATAATAAAAATACCAATAATCACTCTGTGGCCCCTACGCATAGTGTGTTAACTACAAAAATCATAATTATGAAAAAATCAATTGAAAGTTTGTTATTTTCACAGGTGTTCAATTTTCGAGTTTCAATTTATGATTTACAAAGAATTGTTCATTTCTGTAATAGCCGCATAACTTAGCCCATTAGACACAAAGAAAGAGAAAATTAATTTTCAAGTGATACCTATAAAAATGTAATAGTGTAATTCACAATATTACACGTAACAAACTTTTCACAAGTGCCACAGAAATAAAAAAAAAATGTCAAGCAAGTATTTTACTACAGTTTCTTCACATTTTATATGCGGCATATAATTAACAATGAATCAAGATCAATGACTTGTGATTAGTGATTAAAGTATATATGTGAAACAGGGTTGTTCAGTGAATAATGCGCTGAGCTCCCATCCCCAATACAGAACGGTTCGAAACCGAATGAGACAGAAAATTATTTATTCTGTTTATCAAGCAGTGAATCAAACCTGGTATTAAGAGATCCTTCTGGGGCACATCCAATCTCTATTAAGCGTGTATCCTAAATATTAAATTGTTAATTACTTATAATTTCTCTAACGATTGTGAATGTTTTCGGCCAAATCATCTGGCTTCTTTACAAAGTACTAAATTCCAAGAAAAACCCTTCATGTATTAAAGTTACATAATAAAAATAAATAAATAAATTGTATAATATGAACTATTTTTTGAGTATACACTTCTCAAGAAAAATAAATGTTCGCAGCACAAGTAATGGACAAAACTGATACAGGCAGATCTAAATCGGAATAGCCGTTTTTGAAATGTGCCACGAAACAACCTTTGCGCATGTTAAAGAGAAAGTAATAAACTCTGTAAGAGACGATGAAGGTATCAACTCATACAATTCATAAATATTTCATCACAATGCGATTAATGGTAGGTGGTATGCCTATCATCAGGACTCAACTAGATAGACCTGGAACCATTAATGGATCCAGGATTTAATTTTGGGGGGAAGGCTTGATCCCGAAAGATTTTGTTTTCATGCATATAACGATAATTAATTTGAAAAAAAAAGAGAAAGAAATGAACTACCTTCACGAAATGGTGTTTAAGTGATTTTTGAAGTCCTATTAAATGTAATTTAACACGAACAATAATACTTTAAGAGATAGTTTTTAATATTTTTTTCTATAAAACATGGTTATATGTTACCGTTTTTTTTGGAGGGGGAGGAGGGCTTCAGTTCGAAAGCCCCCCTCCCCGTAAATCCGCCTGTGCCTGGAACCAAATGTGTTACTTGATGTAACGTCGCGTGAAATACCATTGGAAATTTTCTGATATAAAAAACTAATACGAAGTTCAGTAGTAAGGAAGCATAATATATTTTTAAAGAAAATTACTTATCGATTGCTTCTGAATCAATAACTCTTATCTCAAAATCAACCAATTGTAACCAAGAACACGATAGAAAGTATTGAAACAACAGTTACATTTATTAGGGATTTGAAACGAGTTTTATAACCAATAATGCACATTCCCTCAAAGGAGAATGGTACGTGTCTTTTCCCAAGAAAATTTATTGCCCTGCTCTTCTTAAAAACGGTGCAAAAGACCGTAAGATTATAAAAATTGTAATTTACTTTTTACCTCTTTTTCTAGGTTTAAATTGTCAATTGAAACTCATACAAATATGGTTTCTTTCAAAAATTCATAATCCAATAAATGGCACAGATTTATAAATTTTTATTCAATAGATCTATTTTGAACCACAGCGATGTTTATCGAGTGTATACCTTAAATGTATCCAACAGCATTTATGAATTGTTGACAAAAAGCACACATATAATTCACTTATATAATATATATCTCAATTTTATAATAAAAAATTGGTTAAAAAATATTATAACTGTGCGTCAAAGGCATTAGAAGTTATTCATGAGATGTTGTATCGTGGTTAGGATACTATCAGCTCGATAGTCTGTCATTCGAGATAAGGGCTGTGCTAAATGAACGAATCCATCAAACCGATGGGGGCGACAGCGGGAAATTGTTTGTAAAAAGGGGAAAAAGGGAAGAAAAAGTGTTTGCTCCAAGTTGTGAAGTAAAGAACTTTTATTACTCACAGCGTCTATTTTTTCTTAATCACTGACGAAGGTAGGGAAGCTTTGTCTTCGTGCGGCAGATTAAAAAAAAATGTTTGTGTCCAGAATCGAAGTTTTCAATTCGTGCATTTCAAGTTGGAAATCAAGAAATAAATTCTATTCCGTGCGTGTCTGTAATCAAATCCATGTGATTAATTTGACATTAGTTCATGCAGGAAAAAAAAATGTAAGTTGTGTGCTTTAGACCATACGATATAAGTGAAACCATCAACGAGGCGAGATTGATTATATGAAATATAAATTATAAATAATAGCTCATTATAAGGAGAATAAAATTCTGAACATTCCCCAAGCTTACAATATGCAGGTCCGATTTTTAGTTTCTGAGATATTATAATCCATATCTTCAGTAAAACTCTTTATCACTTGGATTTCGATACTATTTTTCCCTTTACTCCTCCCTCTAATACGGCATCACGTTAAGATAAAATTTTGAATAATAGCTCTTTACAAAGAAAATGGAATGATGAATATTTCTTTCTGTTACAAAGGGCAGGTCCGATTTTTAGTTTCTGAGATATTTTAGTAAATATGTAAAACACTTCAATTAGTCACCTCCAGCCGACTTTACCCGAGCGTTACAAATCGGAGATCTGAGGGCTCAATCTAATTCACTCTCCACAAAAAAAAAAAAGAAGCAAAATGCACCTAAAAAAGATTTCACTAAAAAAAAAAAAAAATTGTGCTCAGAATCGAAAATTTAGACTAGCCTTTTAAGTTTGCGATATCTAGGAACAATTCCTTGTCTGTCTGTCATCAATTCCGTGTGACGAGGTTATCGCCAACTTCTACTAATCCGATTTTGACAAAATTCTTAAGTATTGTCTGGATTGGTATCTACGATAACTTATATAAATTTTACCAAATTCCATCCGCTACTTCCGCTTTCGGATGCGCAAGCGTACTATTATATGCCTATTTGCCCAAACTCGGTTATTCCATTAGGCTCAAAGTTGGAGATTAGTGATGTTCCCTCTATGTTAAAGGAACATCTTTGTTACCGTATATGTCTGTAGTAAAATCCATAAAATGGGCATCATTGATACTCAATAATATATTTACTCGAGAATGCGAAAATGTATCGAGATATGTCTATATATAAAAAATGTTTCATTCGATTAGCCTCTATGTAAGAGAGAAGTTGGGGAGTAACTAAAAAAATTATCCAGTTTAAATTTTATCAAATTCCATCCCGTATACCTGCCTATGGATCCGTAAACGTATATTCCTCGTTAGACCTATATATATTTTTTTATAAGGTTTATTATTGGCAAAAGTTATATATATAAACAATACAACAATAAAATAATAAATAAATAATAATTAGAAATTACTTTACTTGCCGAAATAAATGAAACAATTGATATTGGATCCCTACAAATGTGAAAAACGAAAACGCCATCGTCAAAAGCGAAATAATTTGCATTTGGAAACATTCCTACAAAATAATGTATGAAAAATAAAAAGAGACCCAAGGTGATATCCGCGAGGAACTCCGGATCAACTTAGACCAAGGTTAGCAATTTTAGAAAGGAGAAAGTCACTGGAAACGGTTCTGCAAAAGTTACTGCAGCGGTCTATGATTAAGATAGTATAATAATAATAATATTATAATAATAGCATTATTCATGTAAATCTATATTATTACAACATACATATAAGTTTTCATTTTTTTAAATTTATTTATTGAATATTAACATTGTAAATAGAGTGTGAGTGTGCTCTCTGAACACTATTATAAATGTCCTTGATTGTGACAGAATATAATATTTCTAAATAAACAAATATAAAAAAAGAATATTAACACAATCTCTCACAATCAAGGACAATGAACATTAGAGCTAAAAGTATCCACTCATTCAATGTATACATACAAGAAAAATAAATTAAGGTAATTAAAGAAAAAAATAATGATAATAGTAAAAATTAAAATAAATAAATAAAAAACAAAAGATTTAATAATTAAATAAAATTCTTCTAAAGCTCATTCACACCTATATACAATATTTACATTTGCCCAAGAGACTCCGAGCAAGGCTTTGTCTTCCGCCTCTGGAAGGAACTTTCATTATTAATTAAGAAATATAACTATTATTAGCTCTTTAGCTTTAATCAAAAATGATGATTTATTGTATTTTATTTCTGTTTGTACATTCTGGGAATGCTATGTTTTCTTTTTCACCACATAATATACCCCAGTATTGACTGAGTCTTAAATATGAATAAGTTTGGTCAACGACTGAACACTCTTTGTACATAGCAGATGAAGAAGTACTGCTAAGTTTTATTTAAATGGTTTAAAACACCGTATTCATAAAAATCATTGTTAATGTAAGCTCTAAAACTGAAGAAGCTATCTCTGAAGTCATCAAGTGACTGGAATTTTTGTTTTTAAAAATAGATTTTGGATATTATTCAATTAATTAGATGCACTAGGGTATATACTCATTAGGTGAATAACCTAATGCAGGAACAAATAATTACAAAACGTATTTCATAATAGACATCGGATCAGGTATGAACCAGTTGATTATAATTTCCAAAGTATTAAAGACGTACCACTGACAACAGCTTATAGGATATTCTCATTCTTAAGATCACGTAGTCTGTACCGTAAGAACTGTATTCGGTTTCAGTGTAACAGTTAATAAAGAGCAGGATGTCGTTCCAGTAACAGGTAACCGATCTCATAAGAACCGGCTTTTATTGTTGTTTTTTTTATGGAAATAAAATCAGCCTTCCTTAGGCTATAAAAAGAAGGGCCGAATGCCCACTACCCATTACCCATTACCCGCTACCCACTGCCCACTACCCAAGACCCAATACCCAACTGCTTCTCAGGGGACGGCTCCTTACCATTCACTTTATGGCTGTCATAAAACTTCCTGGTCATAAATCATCAGGGTACAATATGGCTTCCGTTTGTCAACCAGAAAAATACCTACTTTTTTTTTTTTCTGTTGTTGTATTAATTAAATAATTTCTAGATATTGGGAACTCATAAAACAAAACAAAAAAATATAAGAATCAATAATATAACTGAAATTTATTTTTTTTTAAATAAATGCCCACAGGTCAAAATGAAACGACAGACTTTAAACAAGCGACTGAAAACACTGTACTCACTTGTTTCTAAATGGAAATTGAAAGTTCGACAAAAACTAAATACATACGCTTACCTACTTAAACCTATATGGACATACGCCCTTCAGATTTACGGTCCGGCAAAAAAGACGCACTTACAAAAACTACAGACATTTCAATAAAACATTTTACGACTTACGAAAACGAACTATAGACCAATACATACTTCTCTTGACTCTCATTTTCATCTCAAACTACACGGACACACAAACAGACTTATCAACGACATGGCCACGACTGACATGCCGATCAGGAGGAGACTAAAAAGGAGCTGGATGAGAGATCTCACCTAAATCAAGGAAGTAAATAACGACCAGGAAGAGGTGCTGCTGGGTAAAATCCTTAGTCGTGCCTGTAATGTCAATTCTTATTTTATCACAGCACATCTGCTGATTGTCAATATCATGACAGGTGCTGATACATATCTAAAGAGAAAAAAAAATGCCCAGTATAGTTATTGTAGTGTGAGGAACACTCTGACTGATTTTATAAAGTATACCGTTTTTAAACGAAAATGATTTGGAAACATTATATTTTCACTTAACTTAAACCTTTTTATTTAAAAAAAAAAATATAATTTAGAAATAAGACAATAACTGACTAAACAATCTAACCAACTCTCACACATTCTGGACTACAGATCCTCATTTAACGTATGAAACAAGCGACTGATCTACATAACCATACTGAGAATAATTTAGACATACGTTGGTTTTAAAAGTACAACTAACTAATTTTAAGCAGAGTAGGAAGGTCTAGTTCCATTCCATGGGTTCATAAATAACTTATGACCGAAAGAGCTCAAGACGATCAAGGCATAAGATAAAAAATAAAATAAAAAACTAAGAAAAAGATAAATAAATACATTTTAATCCACCCATGCACGATTCGAACCGGTATCATTGAAATAGAAAATGTTAAAGTTTTAAAGTAATTTTAACGCGGTCATCCATTACGAACTCACTTATTCGCAACTATCATGAAGGAACTCTTAAGACGAAAATAATTATAATAAACTAGTCACGGGAAAAGCAGTTTCTATTATATTCGCTAACATTAAATTCTGTAATGAAGATCTTTTTTTCTTTTTTTTAAAAAGGTTGATCTTTGGAATAGAATTTGAACTATTGGACGAAAAGAGCTATATCGGAACTGCAATCGAAGCTGGTAGAAGGCAATCCAACATATTTGAAGAATATTATCTTCAAATAGCTGTTTCCTCGATATTTGCAAAAGTGCACTATCGTGCAAAAAATAACCGAAATCTGGAATTGGTGTCTTAGTGCGACGACTCTCTCAACTTTGTTAAACAACGCTTATGGGGGGGGGGGGAGGGGATGTGTTGTTTCATGTTGGCTTGAATCTTTAAACCTATAATCTTTAAATGCTGTAAATTTTACGTATTTAGTTTTCCATCTTGGATGCTATTTTGAAATATCCCGTTTTCATCAGGCCCACTAGCCGGAATGAAATGCTGAGGATGGATATTATTACGGAGTATGACTAAAATTTTTCTTAAAATAAGGTTTTGATAATAAGAGAGAATTCATTCAATAAGCTCAATAAACCATTTTATTAATGAAATTTATATTTCATTAACACTGCTGACAGTTTTCATGAATGATAGTCCAATGAGTCCATTCATAATGGAACATTCCTTTCAACCCACGTGAAGAGTGTTGAACGTAAGATTACGTAAGTAGATCGAGTAATGTAATTCAAGTATACCGGAAGAGACTAATCTAAAATGTCCAAAGACAACAAATTCCAAAGCACTTGAATGCCTATTTGATTAAAAGTATAGATATTTTTTTTTTTTTCGACTGAAACAAAAAAGAATTAATGAAAAAAAAATCCATTCATAACACTAATTGAGACTCAAGAAGACTCAGCACTAATCATCTTTCAGATAATAAATCGAGTTCTAACCTCGGCACAGTATTCTCAATGATTCGAGTTGTCATTGAAGAAATGGTTCATGGTGAGTTATATTTTACGGTTCGGTGACTGACCATTCGCTCAATGACCATATTTTCTTCAAACCGATTACACAAAATAGCATTGTCAATTACACCTTGCAAAATACGATTTCGTGTAAAATCTTAAGGCTATATAAAAAAAAACTACACCTTAACTGTAAATATAATATGTCATTGATAATACGGTATATAATAGCGGTATAGACTGCGTGGCTGCTGATAAGAGATCTATTTGCTTAGGGTCAGAACATCGAAGGCAGGAGGAGTACCCAGAAGGAGGCTTGATGGCTCAAGTTGCGCCATAAATTAATGAGGGGGACACTTTTTGACGGGGTTTTCAATTTTTGAGAGGGGCACGATCCGACGGGGTTGTGAATTTTCAAAATGAAAAGTTTCAAAAGACAAGTGGAATCATAAAACAGACCACAGGATGTGCAATGGTATATAATCTACGAATATTCAAAATCTACTTTCGTTTGCACTGTTTTTAAGAAGAAGAGAGGAATAAAATATCTTAGAAGGGATAGGGGAAGGTTTATGCACCATCGGCCTTGGGGAGATGAGCACTCCTGGGTAACAGCATAGAATAGACATAACTCGCAATCTATGATAGACCAAGAAAGAAATCAACAAATGGGTCACAACAACAAATAGATAAGAGATAATTTGAAACTTCTGCAAATTTCTCAAAACATCGATCCAGTAAATTAGCTTACAGAAGCAATAATTTATTTGAGACACGCTTTAAATTGAGAAATACAAGAAAAAGAATTCAAACTTTGAATCCCGCTAGTTGATTTGCCAGATTTGCAGGAAACCTGACGGATTTATTTAGTTGTAAAATTGCAGCTTAAACTAAGTTTAAACTTAAATTAAAGTCAAACTTTAAAATCCAGTTGTACAAATGTAGGTTTAAAGTTAGTTTATAATGAATGAAGGTCAGTTAAACCAAGATGTTATACAACCGCTTTATTTAAAAGTGGTTTAAACCGTAAAAAGTATAGATGTTTTCTTACATCATGAAGAAAATATAACCGATGATGAAGATTTTAACTGCATAGTTCTGCATATCCTGCAAAAATGCATATCCGTAATCTTCGCTGTCTAAGGAGTAGGTTCTAATTACGATTTATTCTTTTCCTGCAAATATTTCTGCATAGGATGTACATACTATTTTTTTCTACTATTTCCATCTTACCATCAGGATAAATCTAGGTTATACGTCGTAATATATCCGTAACGTCTTCTTAATTACTTTTCATTTCATTAAATAAATATTGGTGTTTGACTGACAACAAAAAATTCAATTTAAAAGGTCAGAAAATAATTAGTGACTGTTTTGAAAATTTGATAATTTCTTTTTTTCTTTTGAATTCTAAAAACCTCTTTCAATTTCTTTCTGGAATTTTATTATATCCATTGATTCCTATTCCTCCTTTTTCTACAGTGGCCTGCATTTTATGTAGTTTTTGATTTTTTTTTTTTTTTGTTAGAGTAAACGGTGGTTTTTGTATCCTTTATGTCTTTTTATATTTTATTAGTACTGGAGCCTACTTTTTTTCTGGTTTTGAAGAGTCTGAAAATAATAAAGCTAAATTTTTATTTTATCAAGTTGTTGAGTCTATGTAGGGTGACGAATTGACTTGCTAGATTTTTGGATTCTGAACAACCAACTCAACAAACAATTGATGTTAAGGGTAAAGGAAGGGAGGGTACTGAAGAGAATTTTATAACAACTTCTAGTTATAAAAAAGATATATACCCAGAATAACACTTTATGTTAAAATCGCCAGGGATTTGTTATAACAGATTTTTATTTTTTAACATGAAACAATTGAAATATCTGTAAGCTCGAGTTTCAATAGTAAATAACTGATTTAAAATTAGAGGAAAAATATCGTAACAAAAACTCTACTACGAATAAATCATACAAGATAAACGTACTACTAAAAGATAAAGACAAATTATATAATTGTTCTTGGAAGAATTCTTATAGATGTTATCATAAATTACTTATTGAGATTAGAGAGAGAATGCCTTAAATCAGATAAGAAGTTATTTCATTAATAAAAGTGTCTTGATTGAGAATTTATTCGGCATCCATTCATAAAATAATGGATTTAGGAAGGCCTACTTAATCTGTACCAATGATTATAATATTTTGCCAATATGAAAGTTTTTAATTTCATAGGTCCTCTTTGCACCTATTTCTTCCTTCATCTACTTACTACGAGAACCTTCGTTCCACCGGATTCTAAGATTTAAAAACCTACGATTTCGCCCAAGAAAGAAGAGGAAGTCATTTTTTTTCAAACAAGACTCGGTTTTTCTCACTTCTTTTTAATTTGTTTTCCAAAATACTTGTATATAAACAAATATAGGTATTAGAAAAGCAGTGACATTTGCCGTAGGCGTTGCGTTTATCCAAAGCAAACTAAATGAATTACATAAATATAAAAAGAAAATTGAAACATTGTACAACTTCCTAAAGGGATGGCGGATGAAATGGAAGCCCTGAGAAACCACCATTCCCTACCGTTACCCAACAACCTTTACATAAAACATAAAACAATTTCAAGTCTCATTCATTACCGCTACCTGGCGGACCATTCTTCGTTATGCAATGCAACTCCCTCTGTGAGAACTTCAACAAGAATAGCTTTTTGTCTTAGAAATTTCACAGAAAGCAAAAAAGAAAGATAAATCAGAATCAAGAAAGCCCCGGAAGTGTTGACAAATGGGAATGAGGAAATTAAAAGCTAGATAAAACAGCTAGGCAAGGATAATTCATCAAGAATTTTGCTAAGAAAATAAGGAAGCTTTATTCCTGCGGAAATTTCAAATAATGTTTTACATTGGATGTACCTAGAACTCTATCATACGTCTTACTTGGAATCCTCAAACAAGACAAAAACGACAAGAAACTGCTAGACGTTCCCGACTACTTTAATACTTACTGGACAAACGCTCTAAATTTTCAATAAACAATAAAAAATTCATTTACTTGACTAAAATAAGGAATTATAAAGTTGAGCTTTGGGACTCCACTAAACCGAGAAATTCCTCTAGTATCCAATCCTTCGCTATATCATCAATGCTCCCTACTTTGTCACAAATAAATTTCCATAAAGGACCCTTTGGTGAAGACGGCTGGAATTTGATATTCCTCTTTAAATTCCAAACTTGCTGATCACTCTAACACTGTTGTTCATAACCTTTCAATCAAATCGATTCCTGACAACTCTTCGAGGCGTTTTAAAATTTTAAAAAAAAAGTTAATCCAATAATCATGGGTAGTTTTATCACAAGCTACTATCATTATTAAAAATAAGTAAGAAAGACCGTGTCTTGTTTGAAAAAAAAAATGTATATTCTTAGAGTAGATTTACTTGTAGCATTTTATGTATAAAGTTGTAAATTTCGTTAAATAAAAAAAAAGTTTTTATAAGTCTAAAGTTATTTAGACGTATTAATAAAACAGAAAATGTCAAATAACATTCAAAACTCTGATGCAGAATAAAACATATTATAGTAATAAAGAAAGCTGAGTTTAATATAGATTTTATTATTTCAATAATATACACTTATTAGTCCAAGAATGGAGTTAAAATTATGTGACTTATTTGAAGAAAATTTTTAACAATATATACCGTTATAATATCTACCTTCAGCATTTAATTCGCTCCAGTATAACAAATCAAAGAAAGTGCATATCAAAATTCGTTTCAAGTTATGTTATGTGCGCACCAAGGAGCTGCTGTTATTAATCTAAATATTTTGGATTGAAGATATTGTTATTTTTCTAAGAGTCACTTAATTCAGTGAAGCGTATGTCCACAAGGGTTATGTACGAGTATACGTATGTGAGACACTTCACTCTCCACAGTTGTTAAAAACATTGCCTGCAGAAATTGAGGAGGATGATACACTGGAACATAAAATTTAAATTCCACGTTGTTTTTTTTTTCTCGACCAATTTTGTGTATACGAAAATAATCATCGTAAACTACTTTTTAATGTATTCTAACAGCTTTAATTTGAGCACTAATAGAGCCATATACGTTCAATAGTTCTAGTGTAGCCCAAAATCGGTCTTGGTCTTGCACTTTGCAAGACCAAGACCAAGGCTACCTAACGGTTGCAAGATCAAGACCAGGGCTAGTAAAAAAATCGATTTTTTAAATAGAAATTAAGGCAAAATAGTTACTGAAACTTGACAATTTTAGTTACAATATGTTAATAATTGGTATAACCAATATAATTTTGCATTTAACTCCTCTACTTTTTAAATCGGGCTTAGTTAGGTTTCTCCTATCCAAAAAAATACAGTGATATCTCTATAGTAATAAGCTAATAATACTGTTCCGAGAGTCTTGCGCAAGACCAAGACGGAGTTTGCAAGACCAATACTCGTCTCGGTCTCGCATTTGGGCAACACTAAGTAGTTCAAGAGAACTTTGATCTTTTTATTATCTTCTTATTAACAGGAAGCTGCTGTTATTGGTCTAAAAATTTCGGATTGAAACTATTATTTTTTTTATTTATTTTTTATTTTTTTGCTGAACCATTCACTTAAATCAGTGAAGGGTATGTCCATAAATGTTATGTATGAGAGTAGGTATGTGAATGTTTTTAGTTTCTGTGTAATTTTCATTTTGACGTTAGCGCCAAGGTCGTCCTCTTGTAGAATTTTATTCCAAGGCTTTGAACTGCGTCCGTTTTAGCGATTGAGGTATTCTTTCTGAATTTTATTATTAACGAAAATATTTTTAGATAGTGAAACTTTGCTCACTGTGAGTGTTTCCAAGATCCATAGATCTGACCGTATCGTCAAAATCGAGATAGACCTGACCTATACCCAGAGACGAGACCGAGCGGAACCTGTTACCTTGAGAAGACTATTAATCAAGACTCACCTGCCGCAGTCGATATTTCAGCTGCTGAGCAGTTACTGTCAGCTGTGCCGCAACTGCCTACGCAAGCCGTCACCTGCTAGCAATGCCACCAGTTTACTTTATATGATAATCGATGTAATTTGATAACATTTATGCTGCACTTAGTCCTCAACTTCTCTTGAAATTTGATCCTAATTGGAGAAGCCGTTATTGAAATTAGCGTTGAGGAAAATACATAGGTAAATGCGTAGACGAAATTAGAGGATATAATTTGATAAAACTGATATGTAGCTATTTAGGTAACTACAACACTTATTAAGAACGCCACATAGATTTGACTGCACACAAACACACGAGACCAAATTTGTTTTTCGATGTCTAGAACGTAAAACGCAAGTGTAAATAAAGGATAAAACCTCTTTCATTCTCTGCATAAATACAAATCTCATTGAAAATCAAAGAGGAATAAGAAGCCCTATTGAAATAACAATCATGGATCTTAAGATAAACTCAATACAAGATAACATATTAAGTAATAATAATAATAATAATAATAAAGATGATTATAATAAATACAATTTAATTTCTATTTTTGTTTTGTTTTCTTCAGATTGGCTTAGCATATAACTAGACCGCGTAACGCCTTGGGTAAACAATATATTGGCAAGAGGCGACATTCCTCCCTGTTTGCTCTCTGTTATTATGAATAAGATCCAAGCCTGGTTTAAACGTCCTATATTTGTAAAAAGACATCTGAAACCTGAGATGTTGTGGTCAGGTGTAAGGGAAGGTATTCCTCCTCTCTCTCCTCCCTCAAAATTTGTAGTTCTAAAAAGTTGGAAAATTTGAAATTTGAGAAACTAGGTTGAAAATAGTTTACTAAAATTTAAATCTAATACTTATACATTTGAAAATAAAAGATCGATATTATTTGTTTGAATAAAATACCAATCTCTTAAATTAGAATATGTCAGTGTTAATTTTAAATTTCAGGTAAATGGGAAAAGTCCAAATCTAAGATATTTGGTAAAGTTAAAATATTTATGCACCATGTAAATAGATCGTAGAAGATTGGCCTTCGGAAATCTTCCGTTTGACCAGCCCTGATGAAGGGCTGAACTTAGGCCCGAAACGTCGGCAAAAATAAAAATAAATATACTTATTTATTTTTGCATATTTTTTTTTCCTGATTACCCCAACCAATCTTCTCTTTAATTAACTGAGCTATGGGGCTCCACTAAACCATCGAATTCCTCTCGTATCCAATTCTTACTATCCAAAATCCTTCGTAAAAATAGATTAATTACAAAAGACTCATATACATGATTATAATAAGGCCTATTTGGACTTACGGAGTTAAGCTATGGGGCACCACTAAATCATCGAATTCCTCTCCTATCCAATTCTTACTATCCAAAATCCTCCCTACTTTGTTGCAAATAAAATCATCCAATTTAATCTTTAATCGTACTTTTTAAAACTTTTAGGTTTGAGGGAATTTTGTTTCAACTATTGAAAGTCTTTGGGAAATTTAATTCTATCTACTGAAACTGCAGAGAAATGTATTCTAATTTTGATATATCTAGTGACTTTTCTCAGTCTCCTCTTGCTCCCAAAAGTAGTGACGCAACTGGGAGAGAGACGCTGGGATCTCCAAAAGTCTTGCTCCCCCTTACATAAAAGAAAGACAAAGGATGCTTTAGAATCTCTTGAGCGAATGTAAATATTGTACGTAGGCATGCATGACTTATTCTATCCAACATTAATTTTCATTTGTAGAATAAATATATTGTTATTCTAATCTTACGAAACACATAAATTTTCTTCTTCTTATTATTTTTTTTTTCGATTTACGGAAGGAGGGGGCGGTTGGTTTATAGTTCGAGAAGGTCGAAATTGAGCCACGAAATATTCGAACCGGTGTCGCTACATTCGAGAAAGTTTATACTTTAACTTTTTTTTATAATTATTTTTCTTTGGGAGGCATACTAGATACTAGAGAATATTTTCCTTAAGTGTGTCAGTTTGTATTATTATTTGATACAAATTTATTTTTACAAACACTTTTGATATCTTTAAATCTATAGCTAAATTTCAGATTGTCTGTCCCTCTTCTCCAAAAAAATAAAACTTTAGTAACACATTTTCTGACTCAAACTATTAATATTGAACTTATTATATTATTATTATCAGTATTTTATAAATACAAGTATTGTAATATAGTATTGTATAAGTATTATATAGGGACCTAGTTATGAATGGGAGCGTGCCTTGAGGTATAGAGAAGGGTCGGATTCACGCCCTAAATACCCTATTAAGCTATAATCCCCTCCTGTGGTCGGGTTTTATATTCATCGTTAAAATCAAAACCAATTTAGGGTTCAATCCTAAGAGTGTGGGCTGTCAGAGGCACGTTTAGATATTATAATAAATTTGTATTTATATCTAATTTATTCCATAAGTAAAATAATGAAACATGTTTTTTTTTTCAGTTTAATTTTCATACAACAGAAAATAATTTAATTAGTGTGTTACAGTTCATACTTTGCGTGATGGATATTAAATAGAAAAGCATCTTCTCATAAGACATATTTCATTAATAAGTTCTAAAACAGAGCACTGAGCTCATCAGTAACATGGGAATCCTATCAAACTGTTCCGAAACTCATCGTTGGAAACCATTAAAAATAATCACCACGTTCATCTATTCGTCAATTAAATCACCAATGACTCAGAGGTTTTATCAGTTTCTAATTTCTATGGATACAATATTAATGTTGTTATTTCTCAATTCACTTTACTTATTCATATTCAGATTATTTTCTATGTAGATGTTTACTTATGTTCTAAATTTCAACATTTTTTGTTTTTCTTTAAATATTTTTGTTTTCCATTTCATGAGTTGTTTAACCTTTCATAAGAGTTAACCTTCTGCTGGAATTCGGCAGATCGTACCGTTCCTAAACTCAAATAAATAAATAAATAGCTGTAAATCGGTGAAAAATTTAGTCAATGATATTAGGGTTAAGTTCAGGAACTTGAATTATCTACACACACTCCTTCATCCAGATCCCTTTTAGATTTCTGGGAGAATTTCGGGATAGGTAACATCCAATAAGGGGTAGGATACACTACCCATGTCTTCTGTATGTTTCTGTATGTTGCTGATTGTTAACTTATTGTTGACAGGCGCAAATACATATTTAATAGACAAAAAAAAAAAAAAAAAAAAGTATTTATTAAGTTTAATTTTTCAAATAACGATAAAACGTAATCGTTTTAGCAGAATAATAAAGAAAAAACGTGATTTTTTTGCCCTTGGGGTAGATAAAGCTTTCAGTAGCTGGGAACCTTTAGACTTATAAAAATAAAAGGAAGAAAATCCTGTTTTCCAATTTTTTTTTTTTTTTTTTTTTTGTGAAAACTTCGTGGGTAGACATTTATTTCACTATGCAATATAAAATTATGTTATTTACATAATTAATGACTTAATCCAACAGTTTATATATGTAATGGATACATACATGTCCCATGCCTAAAGCATAATAAGTAAGGCAATTTTTTAAAACTTTTTATTGAGTTATATTACAATCTGTAATAATTATATGTTAAGAAATGGTTTTTTAATACTTCTTTCATAAGACATTGTTATATTTTACTATTTTGGGGAGAAGGGGACTTCAACCCGAAAGTCCCTCTCCGTATATCCGTCTGTGTGTCTTCCCCTCCCCCCCATAATTAACTTCTCAATCAGAGAGGAAACTTCTGTCCGAAATCTCTAGCGACCTTACCGTGTAACAATAATACCACGGCAACTATTGTTGCAGGGACAATTTTTAAACAGTCTGCAAGAGGAAACGCAGTCATGGCAGATGCTTTCGTTTAAACTGGTCTTATAGTTTATTTATTATGTCTTCAGCCTTGCTGGACCATACAAAATTACGATACGTCGTCTCGCTAGTTATTCACTTCTACCCGAGTGATTCAAGATCTTGTTTTAGGAATAAGACGTAGCACAGCTGCAAGAAGTCGTGAACTTGCGGAAGGCAGACAATAGGAAGCACAACCGCATCCTCCGCGGCACGGCTATGGCTTCCGATCCCTGCTATATGGTCAGCACTTCTCCTACCGGACGTCCGCTCCCGGAAATCCTACCGCAACAGGCCCTCGGTGCGTTACGCATTTTGGCTGTGAGGGGAGGTGGATGGGAAGGGGGGGTGTGGCCCACTATCCGGTTAGATTTCCTCATTTAAAAGCCTCCTTCCTCTCCCTTATAATAATATATATATTGTCGGTTTAGTGCAAATAGAGGAGCAAATTATAATTCCGCATAATTATGCGTTCCGGTGCCAGGGGAGCTTTTTACTGTATCATGAATCCCCGCCCTCACTCTCTGGCCCGCGAGAAATCTCCCATAGCCTAAAGGGCAAGGTGTGGATAAAGTAAGAAAAATAAAAAAAAATGTTTATTGCAAATAGTAAATAAGGCTATTTTTGACGGAGCTGAATTTTTAAGAATGTTTTTGTGAATTCTGACTATATTAAATGAACTTTTTTTTTTTTTTTTTTTTTTTTATTCTTACCCTCCAAAATGTTTATTGAAACAATTACATATATAGTATACAATAATACAATATATACATGTAATAAATTCCTTCCTCTGCCCGAGGGCATTTTAAGGATTGGGGATAGCTAAGGGTTACATATGTGGCAGAAGGCCTTGTATTAAATGAACAAATATCAGAGAGAGAAATAAAATGACTAAAACCGTTATATATATCAAGATGGGAAAATTTGCAATCTAAATTTTTTTTAATGAGTTAGCCGACATTTCGACCTAAACATATCATCAGGAATAAAAATCAAAAACTATATAATAACATCAGAAAAATAATAAATACATGTATAAGAGTAATAAAAATAAAGAATAACAGTAATAATATGAAACAAATAAGATGATAATAATAAGAGTAAAGAATAACTTCATACAAGACTGAAACGACAAGAAACCGCTCAACGTTTCCGATTACTTCAGCACTTACTAGACAAATCCTATAAACTTCCAATTAATTACAAAAGACTCATATACATGACTATAATAAGGCCTTTTTGGACTTACGGAGTTGAGCTATAGGGCTCCACAAAACCATCGAATTCCTCTCCTATCCAATCCTTACTATCCAAAATCCTCAATACTCCCTAATTTGTTGCAAATAAAACCATCCATAATGACCTTCGTGTTTCTTATGTTTCTGGCCCAATCCAGATACCTTTCCTTCCATAATAAACTTCAGAATGATCCCAACCATCTCGTTTCTAACCTTGCTTCCTCTTCAATTCCTGATAACCATCCGAGGCATCTGAAAATAAGATGGCCCCGTGATCTCCTAATGTAGACATATCATTAGACTGCTACTCAAATTTCTCAACAAGTGTTTTAACGTCATTATATCCATATGTTCAAATTTACTAAATGTATTTCTTAAATACAGTAGTAAATATCATAAACAAATAAAGAAAAAAGAATAACTTCAGAAAATTGATAATTATAAAACTACAAGAGCTTTCTTATACCTTTATATTTACCATTTGTGTGTAGTTATACTTTACTCTTATTACTATTATCTTATTATTTATTCTTATTACTTTTATATTTATCATTTTTCTGATATTATTTTATACTGTTTTAATTTTTAACCCTGATAATGACCTACATGTTTGGGTCGAAACGTCGGCTAACTCATGGCTGCATATCTTGTCAATTTTTTTCATCCTCATAATTTCAACAGTCAACTGTACACCCATCTTTAAACTCTTCATATATCAAACATAATTACAACCAGCGGAAAATTATCTGATTTTACAAACGGAAAATTATCTATCTGTTTCTTTTAAATATATTGGAAGAATATCAATCTAGAATTGTTAGTTAAAAAAGAAAACTAAAATCATTTTTTTTAAAATTAAATACTAGTTATTTTCACTTTTTTTTATTTACACAAGGGAAAGATCTTAGATAACAGACTGTACACATGTCAGCTGTATATGTGTGAGCTGGTAAATATGATAAGAATTGTCTAGAACAGGACTGCAAACAGACAAGTTATTATCACGATCTTGAATATCATTAATAAGAATACATTTAAAATGCTTTGGAGTGTAACTTGAACTGGGGATGAGATATCAATATATATATCGAAATTGCCATCAATATTGATGAAATATCCACCTAATTTTAAAAAATTGTAAATTTAGAGTAGTTTTTTTTGCACCTGTGGCCGACACTGTTTGATTTGGATTGTTCCTATACCTGTCAGGTAGGTATAAGAACAAGGATGTAATAATCTGTTGAAATTTCATGTTCTTCATTTAAAAATAGAAATCAACAAAAATTACCTTTAACTTGTAATAATTACCGTTAACTTCATTTCGTTCCCCGACTTAAATTTATCGATAAATGCTGGTCGCCGTCAAGACATGTTTTTGGCAATAGGAAAACCTATTTTTGTTCTTTGTTATTTGGCAATGATTACTTCCAATTAACAACAATTGAATATATATGTTGTAATATCAAAATTGCATGTTCACAAGTTTACGTTTCGGGATATTTATTCCCACCTTCAGAACCACAATCCCAATGATCTTGTAGATACAAGGCTAAAAACACTTTTTGAGTTAAAATATAGTGCATGTTACAATGCATGTCAAAATTTGGTTGTTACAATAAATTTGTAATTACCTTAAAACTAATGTGCTCCATCGTCAGTTTCTAATTCATGTTGTAATAAATCTATTTTTGTTTTATAAAATTTACGTGACTATCAATATACAGTTTTAAAATTTACGTGACTATCAATATACAGTTTTAAAATTTACAATAACCATTATAAGTTTTACACAGAATATTTACATTTCGGATTCGATTTCACCTAAAACTTAACAACCTAATGAATATAGTAGAATATTGGCAAAATAGGACTTTCTTTAACAAGTCTTAAGGAAAAAAAAAACACCGTAGTAGAGCAAAAATACATATATAAAATACGTTGAATTAAATTGAGGTAATATATCACTATTTAGTTATTTTAGTTGAATTAAGATATGTTATCTCTTAGGTTCATATATGTGATATATAGAAACAATGAGTAATTCGTTATATATTAATTGTTAACTCAACGCTGAAAGATTTGTTATTTTCCAGCTTTAGAGATCCTTAGCTGGAAAGAGAACGAAAAACGGATTGCTGACCCACAGACAGATTGTCACCAGCAGAACCGAGCGACACTCCAGTAGGAGAAAGTGGTCCAGAACTGTCGACGTGAGGTGACCGAGACGTGAGAGATCTAAGAGCGCTCCAGAATTCCAGAAAGGACTTCGGAGCCGAATCCCGGCCTATTCTTCCAGTTCCTGGCTGCTCCGAGGTCCCGCTTGCAGATCTGGTTCCTACCGACGAACCGGATACGGCACCGTTATTAATGACACAATAAACATTCCTGCGTGGGTGGATTAGATTCCCTTTCAGAGAGAATTCTCGAGATATATGAAAATAAGAATCCCGTCTCTATATCTAAATAGGACACGACCTTTCGTTAGTATACTTTAATGAAAATTTATAGTTCGGACCTGTCAGTAAAATCAATGTTATATTATACATCCTCAAATATGAGAAATAATGGGTCGATATTTCCTCCTTAAGGAAGGTATTGAAATCGGGTCACACTTTCGGTATCTGATTTTTAACTGATCTTTATGTTCCAGAGATGCCTAATTCCGGGCATAGATTTTCTGTCTACATGGATTTGAATTGTTATCTTATATTCCACATAAGGCAACCACTAAACGTGTATATATATATATATTTTACAGACTAACTTGTTTTCGCAGCGCCGAAACAGTTTTAAAATGTTTAATGAATTTTCTTATAAAGTCTTCTTCTTAAAGCCTTTCAGTTTACCATATGTACCTAACTCTCGACACAAAAAAAAAAAATCGATCAGAAATGAAAAATAAATTACAAATTTCATGGACAGTTACATACTTTCTTATTACTTGAAAAGTAACTAAATTATCAAAAAAAAGAAAAGGAAATATATGAATATCTCTCTAAAAAAAAAAAAAAATCTTGACATAGTTATTTTTATTACTTTGTTGCAATTCCAGTTAAATAAATAAAAAAACTATATCACCACAAGAGTTTTGGGTTCAGTGCATTGTTTGGAAGTACTGTTGGACTGGGATCACACTAAACCGACAGGTCCCTCCCCTTAATTAATTATTTAATTAAGAGTACCCATTTTATAGAAGCTGGCTGTGCCCCAGGAGGATTCGGACCCAGGACCTACAGCTTACAAATCGAGTGCCGAAATATATACTTAACGTAAAATAATTTTTTTTTCACTATAATGAAGTTAAATTTCTTGTAATCAAACTTAAAAATAGTCATTTGCTCAAAAAATCGTTATATAATTAAGAGCGGTCAATCCAAACATATGTCCCTCATTGTTGGCAACTAGATTATTATTTTTTTTTAAGAAAAAATACGCACAAATATAGACCAAAAGATATGCAAAGACCCAAAAAGCAAGATACCAGAAATGAGGCCAGAACAGACACGAGATAATAGCCGACAATTTTAGTCAGCATTTAACCACAAATATCCGGGACAGATACCACAAAACCGCAACCTGATTTGGCGGGTTTCGAACCCCCGAGGAGAGAACTGCAGTGCGGTGGCTGGGGCTTCCTGGTCAGTGAGGGCGCACTGAGTGTCTCAGCACCAAGTACGCTGATTGGCTGATAGAAGGCTGTCAATAAGGACACTCGACAATATTGTTCCGATCCTTCCATCCTTAATATTTATACCCAGGATATAGCACTCTCAAACACACGGGTTTGGGCTTATTCAGCGTGCAGATCCAGGATCCAGGATTTAATTTTGGGGAGGGGGCCCCCTAGTTGGTTGTCGTAAGTAGATATGTAAAGTTTTGTTGTTTACGTACCAAGCAGCTCCTGTTATAAGTCGTAAAATTTTGGATTGAAACGTCTGTAGTAAGTAACGTTTTTGTAAGTGTGTCTTTTTTGCAGAATAATAAATTTGTGAGGCGTATGTCCATATGGGTTTGAGTAGGTAAGTGTATGTATTGAGTTTTTGTATGATTTTCAATTTTGATTTGGAAAAAAGTGAGTAAAGTATTTTCAGTCGCTTGTTTAAGGTCTTTGTTTAACTTAACTTGACGAAATTTACTTCAAACGAA